ACACAATCTTCCTTGTCTGCACTAGTAGAATACCCCAACGTATAATAACAACAGTGGGACTCTTAGAATTACAGACTGATGCCTTTTAGTCGACTGTGCGATACTTTGTATTTGTACTGCTAAAACAAGTGGGAGATTACCATTCTAACTTCATTTGGTTCGTATTTCGTTTTATTTTTTTATCCTCTTCCCAAGACCATATAAATGATTTACCAGATTCAACTCCATTCCCATACATTTTGTTTGTGAATGACATATTATTGATTGTAAAGAATTGACCTTATTTGTTGTTGATCGATTGTAAAGTTCGATATCATTTGAAAAAAAGGCCGAAACACCATGATTCTACGTAGTAGCATCACTGAGATCCTTTACCCACCTTCTGAGTCCTCCGAGGAAGGTGACATCATTACCATCACCTTGGTCTCCATCCTCTGTCAAACCATCTTCTCTAAATATACAATGTGTTAATTTTACACTTGATCAAACGAAATGTGCGGATACTAGATAAAAAATTATCGGTAAAAAATCGAAAAAAAATTTTTTTATGTAAACTATTTAAAAAATAAAAGCATTTGAATTTTGTTTTTGTTAAAATTCCCATCCTTCGGTTTTAAATTATTTTTTCTTTAGGTAAACGGTGTATTTTTTTCAAAGTAGTTTTATTTGAAAGTTAGAAAGATTAACTAGAAATAAAAATTAAAAAACCTACAATATCAAACAGGAAATTTGTCAAAAAAATAATAAGATAATTTTTTTTGTTAAAAAAATACTTTTCTTTTTAATTTTTGGTCTGTAACTTCAAAACTAGTACGTTGAGATAACCTTTTTAGCATGTTTTATTAAACTACGTAGCTTACTGTACATGTTCTCTAAAATAACATGCGTTCTATCTCTTTTCGTTGTTAAGATAATCACTGTACTAATTGGAGTACTGTACACAATCTGTTTCATGTAGCCCCACAAAAAAAAATCTAGGGGGTCATTTTCCGCCTCGTCCAATCCATCTGTCTCCGTATAGTTCGTTTAAATAATCACGCACGATGGTGCTGAAGTGAGCTGGAGCGCCGTCATGCTGAAACCACATCCTCCTCTTTGTTTGTAGATCCACATCACTCATCAGGTCAGATAACTCTTCTTGTAGAAATGTTAGGTAAGCTGGGCCTGTCAACCTTGACGGAAGAATAAATGGTCCGATTAAGTAATCACTTATCATTCCAGCCCAAACATTAATCGAAAATTCGATTTGAAAGGACGCTGGCCGAACTGCTAAGGGATTTTTTTCCTCCGGCATCCACAAATGAAGATTTCGAAAATTTGTGATTCCAGTTCTGTTAAAATTTGCCTCATCGGTCCACAAAATACGGTCACAGAAGTTCGGGACTAATCGTCTTTGCCGCAATAGCCACGAACAGAAAACACTTCTTCCTACGTAATCTGGCTCGTGGAAATTCTGCACTCTTCGAAAATGAAAAGGGTACAAACATTCCTTTTTCAAAATTTTCCACACTTGGACGTGATTAATCCCCAATTGGAGTGCTATTCGTCGAGTACTAATTGTGGGGTCTTGGTACACCAAACGCAACACTTGTTCATCCACATCCACCGGTACAGTAGAAGCACGTTCACGATGTGGGCGATGCAGTCCATTTTCACTTAATTCTCGATGTACTGCTAAGAAAACCCTGTAGTCAACGGCAGGTCTTGTCGGGAATCGCTGATGATACTCTCGAAAGGCGGCGCGAGCGTTGCCATCACAAAACCCGTAAATGTAATGAATGTCAGCTACTTCACGAGCAGACAATGAGTCTATCGCAGAAGGCATAGCGACGAAAAAAATGGTGAGCGTATTCAACGCGCAAATTAGGTAACGTTACAAGATGAACTGTTTAAAATAGCTAAAGCTGCCTGCATGCCTTACGAGAACGAGACCCAAATTTCATTCAAACGACAATTCACTCTCTCACTCACTTGTTTCGCCTTTCATTGATCTATCTCTTTTTATCTTTACCTGCTATTGTTCGACCAGGGGTGTTCAAATTAGAGGTAGGTGCGGCGTATAAGCGCAAATCAACATACCGATGGCATTCTTTGATGATTATTTTAAAAATTAAAAGAGATAGAACGCATGTTATTTTGGAGAACTTGTACAGTAAGCTACGTAGTTTAATAGAACACGCTAAAAAGGTTATCTCAACGTATTAGTTTTGAAGTTACAGACCAAAAATTAAAAAGAAAAGTATTTTTTTAACAAAAAAAATTATATTATTATTTTTTTGACAAATTTCCTGCTTGATATCGTAGGTTTTTTTAATTTTTGTTGCTAGTTAATCTTTCTAACTTTCAAATAAAACTACTTTGAAAAAAATACACCGTTTACTTAAAGAGAAAATAATTTAAAACCGAAGGATGGAAATTTTAACAAAAAAAAATTCAAATGCTTTTATTTTTTAAACAGTTTACATAAAAAAAATTTTTTTCGATTTTTTACCGATAATTTTTTATCTAGTATCCGCACATTTCGTTTGATCAAGTGTAAAATTAACACATTGTATATGACGGCTCCGTGGCGCAGTGGCATAGCAATGAATTGCGGCGCGGGTTCGAATCCCGCACGGTACAAGTATTTGTATGGCCTACAAATGATTGTTCCGGGTCTGGATGTTTGTCCTTGTGCAATTTGTGTTTGTAAACTGCCTCCACGATACAGGAGAAAATCCTAGTGTGGGGGTAACGTTTTTTTTTTTAATAAAAAAATATATAAAATAATATAAAATCTTAAAACATGTTTTAAAAAATTATAAAATATATATAAAAGCTACTAAGAAAGTATGTACTTACCAATAATGGAAACGAACTGAAGCCAACGGATTACGGTGCGCCCGGAAAAATACGTGGATTGGCGTCAGTTAAAAATATTAACTTAAGATTTCACATTCACGATCAGTTTTTGGATGTACGTCAGTTCAACGGAGCACTTTAAACTTTAACTGACAGCATGCCCGAATAAAATCCGTGTGTTGCCTTCAGTTAAAAATTTCAACTTAAGATTTCACATTCACGGTCAGTTTTTGGATGTACGTCAGTTAAACTGATCAGTTTAACTGACCGTGTGTGGCCTCAATAATTCTTTTTCTAAAATAAATGTAGCCTAAGTTACTTTTTACAACATCGGCTATCTGCCAGTGAAAATCCGGTCAAAATCGGTCCAACCGTTTCGGAGATTAGCCGGAACAAACAAAGAAACAGACAGACTGAAAAAAAATTTAAAAGTCGTGTTTTTGTTATAAGTACCGTAAAATATACTTTAATATGCATATAGTAAAAAGCTGTTATTTCAACATTACAAACAGACACATTTATTTGTATAGATGTAGTCATTTAAACTTACACGTAACATACGAACAAAATGTTCATAAGCGACGGTAGTCACTTACCATCGGACCGTATGCTCGTTTGCTCTCTCTTTTATAAAAATCAAAAAAAAATAATGGAACCCCGCCTTTTTTGGAAGTTAGACAAAAATATTTGTCGGTCGGTTATCTCGCTTATAAGGTCGTAAGTTCGAGAGATGGACGAAATCATTACACAACAACAATATTATTTGGAGTAACATTTGTTACTTACTGCCTCTATTGCCATCGTAATTCGTAACATACTTAATAATATGTACATACACGTATACCGTTATCGTTACAGCCTATTAAAGTCTACTGATTGCCTCATAGGGGGAAAATTTGTTATTATATATAATTTATAGTTGGCAACCGCAGTTTTTTTAATTTAGTCGTAATTAGGAAGACGCTGCTGTCCATCTCCTGGTTTGTTTCCCTCTGGTGCCTCTTACGACACCCACAGGATGATATGGGGTAGTGAATATTCTTACACCGCCACTACACGGTATAAATAGTAATATATAAGGTGCTATACACTACACCACACACTACATGGCCGTTCGATGAAAAAAGTTATTAACTTACTTTTTTATTTTGCCTACATTATTCCATTCTAGTAAGATTAATATGCAAGATTAAGGTTTATACAGAAATCAGTTTAATAATAGTACACTCACATAAAATACACTTAATTTATATGATTAAATTGATTATTTTAATATGGCCTAATTCTATTATTAACGTTTCTTTATTCTTTTATTCTATTTTTAGGTTTGGTTCACAATCTTCGATAACCTTTCTAGATACAGGGGATTCAATTTGTTTACATATTTTTAGTTTCTGAGTAGTATCAAATCACCCACATTGTACTTGATAGGGTTTGTATAACAATCATATTTATTTTCAACCGACTTCAAAAAAAAGGAGGAGGTTCTCAATTTCACTGTATTTTTTTATATGTTACCTCAGAACTTTTTTCTGGGTGAACCGATTTGATGATTCTTTTTTTATTTGAAAGCTGACAATCTGATCAGCTGATCTGATCTGATCAAGATCTGTTAAGTTTTTGAGTTATCCTTAGGAATGATTATTTAATTGACTTCGACTACATTGATGATATTTTCATTTTTGATTCCCGACGCAAAAAGAGGGGTGTTATAAGTTTAACTGCTGTGTGTGTCTGTCTGTCTGTGGCACCGTAGATCTTAAGCGGGTGAACCGATTTAAAGCAGGTTTTCTAGCGGTGGTTCTTGTTTTATGAAAATCGGTTCAGCTGTTTCAAGGTCATCCGTTGTTTTGTTTCGGGGTTTTTGAATTTTTTGAATTTTAGTTATAAGTATTTATATTGAAGTCATTTTGCGATTCTTGAAGTCTGTATTTAAATTGTTTATGATGATCGTGTTGATTGTATAACGGGTCCGCTTGTAAAGATTAAATGAGTAAGTTGCACGCTTTTCCAAAAACTAGTTCATAGTATATTCTGTTTTCATGTGTACTGTGGTATTAAAGGCAAAACATTAAACAAAACTTAAACATTATTATCAGATTCATTTTCTTGTGGCGAATGATCATAAACGTTTTGAAACCTTCACGTTTTCTTCCCAGGCATGCAACATAGAGTTATATACGGCAGCGAACCCAGAGGGCTTCCGCTGACGGAAAAACTGCTGCCACAGTACTTGAAGGAGCTGGGCTATAGCACACACTTGGTGGGCAAGTGGCACCTCGGCAGCTACAAGAAGGAATATTTGCCTTTGAATCGAGGGTATGTCCTTTTACGATACTTTCTTTTTTATAAAACCGTGTGCCAGCCAGTGCAAAACGCGGCAAACCGTTTTAAAACTTGTTTGAATTTACTTAAAGTTTTCTTTATACTTGTAGGTTTGATACTCACCTCGGTTTTTGGACGGGCAGAATCGACTTGTACGATCACACGTCATTTGAATTCGGCTCGTGGGGATACGATTTTCGTCGAGGTCAGTACTGTTCACTTATTTGTGTATAATCGCCTTTATTTTGTTATATTACGATAAGATAATGAATTATTTTGGACAGAAAGAAAAAACACTAATATTGTAATCATCATCATCATCATCATTACAGCTTTTCATAAGTCCACTGCTGAACATAGGCCTCCCCCAAGGAATGCCACAAAGCACGGTCCTGAGCCACCTGCATCCATCGACTTCCTGCATGTCTCACCAGGTCGCCACTTCATCTCGTGGGGGGTCTTTCTTCCCCATCGGTTGTCGGTTCTTCGAGCTATATGGCCGGCCCACTGCCACTTCAGCTTACTAATCCGTTGGGCTATGTCGGTTACTCTAGTTCTACTGCGGATATTCTCATTTCTAAGTTTATCACGCAGAGAAACCCCGAGCATAGCCCTCTCCATAGTTCACTAAGCGACCTTGAGCTTCCTCATACGGCCAGAAGTGAAGGATCACGTCTCAGATCCGTAAGTCATCACTGGCAATACGCACTAGTTGTACAATTTCGTTTTAAGGTTTTGAGGTATGTCTGACGAGAAGATGTGTCGTAGTTTCCAGAACGCTGCCCAGCCGAGTTGAATCCGTCGATTGACCTCTCGGTCGAAGTTGGACTTACCTAGTCGGACTATTTGTCCCAGGTAAACATACTCGTCAACAACTTCGAGCTTAGTGCTCCCAACATCTACCGGCATAGGTGTGACATGGACATTAAACATGATCTTTGTTTTGTCCATGTTCATCCTAAGACCTATTCGTTGGGAGACACTATTGAGGTCATTGAGCATGGTGCTTAGGTCCTCCAGCGATTCTGCCATTATGGACTTTATCGTCGGCAAATCGAAGGTGAGTGATGTACTCGCCATTGATGTTAATGCCGTAACCTTTCCAGTCCCGAAGCTTGAAAACGTCTTCCAATGCAGCGGTGAAGAGATTCGGGGATATAACGTCACCCTGTCTTACACCTCTCTGCAATTGGATAGGCTTCGTACTCTGGTTCTGTACTCGGATAGCCAACGTAGCCCTACTGTACAAACACTTCATCACTTCGATATACCGACAGTCAACTTGGCACCGCTGAAGGGACTTTTTTTTTTTTTTTATAGGAGAGGGGGCAAACGAGCATGCGGCTCACCTGATGGTAAGTGACTACCGCCGCCCATGAACAACCGCAACACCAGGGGAATTGCAGATGCGTTGCCGGCCTTTTAAAAAGGAGTAGGCTCTTTTCTTGAAGGTCCCTAAGTCATATCGGTCCGGAAAAATCGTTGATGGTAATCGATTCCACAAGGAAGTCGTGCGAGGAAGAAAACATCTTCTAAATCGCACAGTGGTGGACCGCCAATCATCCAGATGGTGTGGATGGTATCGGGAGTTCTGCCGCGATGTGCGTTCATGAAATTTGGCGGCTGGGATTAATCCGAACAATTCCTCAGAGCACTCCCCATGGTAGATGCGAAAGAAAATGCAAAGAGATGCAACATCTCTTCGCAGTGCCAATGAATCGAGCCGATCGGAAAGGGCTCGGTCGTCGACGATTCGAGCCGCTCTGCGCTGGATGCGGTCAAGTGGAAGGAGCTGGCACTGGGGAGCCCCTGCCCAGAGATGGGAACAGTATTCCATGTGAGGCCGAACCTGCGCCTTGTAAAGTTGCAGGCGGTGTGCCGGCATGAAATACTGTCCCGCTCTGCTGAGCACGCCAAGCTTTTTAGAGGCCAATTTGGCCTTCTCTTCCAAGTGACCACGAAACTGCACGTCACTCGATATGTCGACTCCGAGGATACCGATACAACTGCTGGACTGCAGCACCACCCAAATTTCGACGGAATCAAAGGCTTTCTCATAGTCCACATACGCCAGACATAGTGGCAAATTGTACTCTTCGGACTTCTGTACAATTTGCCAAAGGGTATGTATGTGGTCTATGGTGCTAAAGCCCTTTCGGAAACCGGCTTGTTCGGGAGGCTGGGAGTCGTCAAGACTGCGCGCGAGACGATTCGTAATGACTCTCGAAAACAGCACGTAGACGCGGCTCCGAAGGGAAATCGGTCTGTAGTTCTTCAAGAGAGCGTTGTCACCTTTCTTGAAGAACAAGACCACCGCACTTCTGCTTCACGCCTCCGATGTAACGCCACCATGGAGGACGGAATTAAAGAGCTTCTGAAGGACTTCAAGTACCGGTTTTCCACTCGCTTTCAGAAGCTCCGCTGTAATTCCATCCTCGCCTGGGGCCTTGCCGTTTTTAAGGTGCTGGAGAGCCATTCTAATCTCGCTCAGACTGACGTCCGGGATCGGAATAATGTCGGATAAGACTCGCTCTTGGATCGTTACTCACACTCGCGTGTGGCTCCAACGATGACGTGTACAGCTGCCCATAGAACCTCTCAATCTCACTCAAAATCTCAGGTGTCCCGGAAACGATGCTGCCACACTCGGTCTTCAGCTTTGACAGTTGGCTCTTTGTGGCAGACAGATCTCTGGCAAAGACTTTGGAGCCTTGGTTCCGCTCAATCGCTTCTTCAATACAAGCGGTATTGAAGTTACGTAAGTCCCGCCGCATGCATTTGGAGATATGTCTGTTCAGTTGCCTGTATGCTCTCAAATCTGTTGAAGAATGTAGCTTCATCTCCCGTCTAACAGCCATGAGATTAAGAGTGTGATCGGCGAGTTTTTGTGTTCGTTTGCGGCGGGTCTTGCAGAACTTAGCTCCGACCGCATGGACAGTTTCCACGAGCTTGTCATTCATATCGTCCACTTCATTGCAGTCTTCTAGGCACTGAAAACGGTTTTGTAACTCGAGCTGAAAGGTTTCGGGACTTTGGAACAGAGCACGAGGGGGACGGAGCGTTGACTTCATTAGACGAGACCTCTCCAACTTAACGTTTAATTTCAGTGTGCCTCTAACCATTCGGTGACCGCTACCAGTTTTCACCCTCGCGATCACGGAGACATCACTGAACAGTTGTCGTCTGGTCTTCATAATGAAGTCAATCTCATTTTTGTGGAACCGTCGGGGCTCGACCAGGTCCTCTTCCTGTGGGGCCGCTTCTGGAAGAAAGAGTTCAACATAAAGAGTCCCTCTTTCTCCATGAAGTCGGCCAGCTGCTGGCCCCTTGGGTTTCGTTGCCCTATTCCATATTTCCCTACTTTCAGCTCACCGTTCTCTCTTGTGCCTAGTTTGCATTGAAGTCTCCCATTAACACCGTATATTGTATTTTGGAGGAATGCATGGCTCTAGAGATATACTCATACATTTCCTCCACCTCCTCATCGGGGTGTGCCGAGGTTGGTGCGTAAACCTGTATGACCTTCAGCGAATACCGTTTGGTGATTCTGAGTATAAGGTACGCAACCCTCGTCGACACACTCTCAATCTTTACAACGTTGTTAACGAGAGACTTGTGGACGATAAATTCGACACCTCCTTGGGACAGATGGTCGCCCTCCCGGTAATAGAGCAAGTTGCCGGATTCGAGGATTACCGTGTTCTCTCCCTCTCTTCGGACTTCGGATAATCCTATAATATGCCAGCGTAACTTGTCTATCTCTTCTTCCAGCTCCACGATTTTCTCGTCAGTCCTCAGGGTGCGTGCGTTGTATGTTGCCATGTCGAGTCGTCTTAGGTGGCAACCGAACCTCCACCGGAGATTCTTAGCACCCCCTGCCCCGCCGTTACCATGGTCGCCACCGTAGCCAGGAATAGCGGGGCCGCCGGGGACTGGGGGCCGTTTTTTTGTTTCTGCCATTCATAGGGGGGTATTTGCCATAGTTGCCACGCTTGGCGAGCGGGTTGGCAACCGCAGTTTTTTTTATTGTAAGTTTGTTGTCAGGGAGATGCTGCTGCCCATCTCCTGCCTGTTTCCCTTTGTCGCCTTTTACGACACCCACGGAAAGATATGGGGTAGTGGATATTCTTAACCGCCACTACACGGTGATATTAATATTGTAATAGCATAACTTAGTGTTAGAAACAAAGTATTAAATATTGAGTTATTAAATAATAAAAAATTAACTAACAAAATAACCAAAAAAAACACTCAAGGACTTTTATATATTATACAGAATTTATATCTTCTCGAAGTGTAGAAGATATAAAAAGATATAAATTTATCAAAAAAAAAACAAAATATATATGCAGCCATGTATGTTTGCAAAGTAAAGTTGCCATTACTTCTATTTTATCTAAATCTTAAAAAATTATAACAAGTGAACGTTGTCAAACAGAAATCATAATCCGAATTTCAATACCGTTACAGGCTTCCAAGTAGCTCATGACTTGTTCGGTGTTTACGCTACTGATGTCTACACTGACGAGGCAATAAAGGTATGTTACCTATTGAAAATAAGTTTTTTTTTAATTTTTAATATCATCATCATCATCATCATCATTACAGTCCTTCACGAGTCCATTAGTTACGATAAACTTCCCCTAAGAATATTTCTTACCGTAAAGTAGGTACGGACCTGAGCCACCTGTGCCCATCGACTTCCTGCATGTTTCATATAAATGTATTTAGATAAAATATAGTCACATCCCTTCTGGCAGTGCTCTATCTATTTGTAAAGTATCATCACAATCAATTCAGCCATTCCAAATATTAGCAGGGTCAGACAGACATACATTTCAACCGCAGTCTTTCTTGTTTTTAGTCGTTATTAAGAAGACGCTGCTGCCCATCTCCTGATTTATTTCCCTCTCTCTTGCGACATCCACGGGAAGATATGGGATAGTGGATATTCTTACATCGCAACTACACGGTAGGCAGTAGGTAATGGCACCGGGTAGCAGCACCAAAGGCGTCTAATATTGCAATCGTCAATCCGCGTATTGGCTGACGGACGCCCGCTCCGCCAGGCACGCACACTGTCACACTGTGCATGTACATGTCCAACCACATCCAAAGGTCGACCGCACTCGTGAATTGCAAGAACTTTACCAAGCGTTACGATTAAGGCAATCCTCCCTATGACAAAAGAGACCTATACTATCCAGCAGTGGTCTTCCACGGGCCAATAAAGAAAAATACAACTTAACCAAATGTCAAATCAAACCAACCACACGAACAATCCAAAAAAATGTGCACGCGGTAAAAGTGAAACCTTCAGAAAAGTAGACAAGAGATCGAGATAATAGGAAACACTGTATACTGTATTTTATCTCATTCTCTTGCAGACTAAACCTCATAGATGTAGATGTTTGTCTCTATTTAACACGCTTTTATTAGTTATCTACTCGTATCTATGTAGGTAACGGAATTTTTTAATGTAATTTTCACCAACTTGTAGACGGATGTTTGACTTGAAAATTCACGCTCGTATCAAACACCGACGACAATACAACAATTTAATAACTATTTCTGGTATCCTGATCGGGATCACTTTCTCACAATGAATTAAAAAATAGTGAAAAAGAACTATCACAACTCATGATCAATGCGTGTTTTAAACGACTTAAAAAAAAAAAGAGTTTCTCAGTCTGACCCGTATGATGTATATATGTTTGTCTGCGATTATCTCGCGTTTGACTGAACCGATTGTGATGCGGTTTTCAGAAAGTATTTGTTACATTCTGGAGAAGGTTTTTCGTATACCTACAACAAATGGATACCTCGTGACATCGTCCGCATGCATCCGTTATTGAGCGATATATTAGTTCAACTCGACCGATTTTGTTGCTGCGATTTATTAGCAATTTGAAGTAGGTTTTTACTTTTTGTTAAAAGTTATAATTTAAGTTTTAATGATAATATAAGTGTCGCTTTGTCTTTTCATCGCGTTTCAAATCACAACGGTTCTAATGAAAGTTTCACTTCAAAAATCCTGTCGGCAGTTGATACGCGGCCACAACAGCAGCGGTGGGCTATTTTTGGTTGTGGCGCACTCGGCAGTGCACAGTGGCAACCCGTACGAGTTTCTGCGCGCGCCGGATGATCTCGTCGCCAACTTCTCACATCTACCCGACAGGCAACGGCAGAAGTACGCCGGTAAGTACGTCGCGTTTCCTATTTACAAGCTTGTATTGCATAAGAGCATTTCCGTGTAGTGGCGGTGTAACCTCATCACCTTATATTACCGTCCCGAGAGTGTCGTAAGAGGTAACAGAGGGGAATCAGTCAGGAGATGGGCAGCAGCGTCTTCCTTATAACGACTAAAACACTGTGGCTGTCTATCCGCTAACCAGGCGTGGCAACTGTGGCAAATATCCCCGCTATTATTCAAGTTTAAGTTTAGCAGTGGACTCTGATATGTCGTAACAGTAACGATAAGAACATAATCATGCTGTTAATTTTGTACTCCAGACCGCATTTCGCGCTATCTGAGCAGGACAGGAGTATAGTACCCGAGTGTGCCAGATGTGCCGGAGCAGTGGCGGTGTAGGAATATCCACTGCCCCATATCGTCCCGTGGATGTCGTAAGAGGTGACCGAAGGAAATTGAAACAGATAATCGGCAGCAGCATCTTCCTGATAACAGCTCTAAATATTAAAAAAAAAACTGCGGTTGCTTACCTGTCAAGCGTGGCAACTATGGCAAAGTTCTCCCAATTCAAATCACGCAGGAAAGACGAAGTCCCCACATAGAAACAATTCAAGATATGTCCTCAAAAACTTAATAAGAATTACAAAAACATGCATCCAAAATAAAAAATCAAGAAAAGTGTATAATTATTACTCCACACTATTACAGTCCACTGACTAAAATATTTTGTTGATACAATTAATAGAATCAGGCGTTACTTTGCGGAAATCCATTATATTAAAGCTTTTAGAAAAATTTACTTCGCAAATATCCGCGTTATAAAATAAAATGATGTGTCTTACCTAGTATGAAGAGCACCTCCCGCCCTCCCACAATTGCGTGCACTATCCCCGTCACCACTAATCCCAGCACCGCTACTCCCAACACCACTACACAGTCTTGCCTAGGCAAGACACACCACTGACGATAATACGACACGTGTTTCGCCTCTACGCGAGGCATCCTCAGGTGATATAGACTCTACGGTGGCTAACCGCTAAGTGAGTCTCTTAGCGGTTAGCCACCGTGCTCTTCATACTAGGTAAGACACATCATTTTATTTTATAACGCGGATATTTGCGAAGTAAATTTTTCTAAAAGCTTTTTTTGTTGATACATTCACAGTATAACGACCATACTTACCCTGTTAGGTATATTTAAGACTGTAGTCCTTGAGCGTGGAAACTTCTAATAGAACACCTACATTGATATTTTCTAGCCACACATACACATCTCGTAGTATTAGTATACGCACCCTGAACATGAATAAATTACTTTTGGTGTTTTGTAAAAGTTACAGTTCGTTCGAATTTCAAATCTGTGTATCATAGCCACTCGTAACATAGATATTTTACGTTAAATTATTTTTTCGAGTACGATGTTAGATGCTTTATAAAATGACGTTGTAGGTACTGCAGCGGTGTCTTGTGCATACGAGTAGTCTGTTGCCCGATATACATTTGTATATTAGAGATTTATAGATATTGTATCTATTTATGATTTGTATCGCCCACTATTACTCCATGGTTCTATTACATTGTATCAAATTACTCATTATCACAAATTAAAAATAAACAGTAATTAAAGACAATTTAACGTAAAATATACACCGTGGACTGTGGAGTGGCGGTGTAAGAATATCCACTACCCTATATCAACCCGTGACCCGTGGGTGTCGTAAGAGGCGACAGCGTTGAAGTAATATGTTTTTACGTACGTATGTAAGTACCTAGTCCATAATATCTCAATTGGCGACAGAAGGAAACAAATCAGAAGATGGGCAGCTTTTCCTAATAACGACTAAAAATAAAAAACTGCGATTGCCAATCCAGTTACCAAGCGTGGCAACTATGGCAAATATTCCCCTTATGACGCAATCTATGGAGAGAACTATGGTCAGTTGACTGTAATTTGTTGTAACAGTAACGGTAAAGAATATTTCAGCAATGGTAACGAAGCTGGATGAATCTGTGGGAAAAGTAATAGAGGCGCTACAACAGAGAGGGATGCTGGAGAACTCGATTGTTTTATTCACGACTGATAACGGCGGGGCCGCTGCTGGCTTCAATAACAATGCGGGTTCAAATTATCCTCTCAAGGGGGTGAGTTGACATTTTACAAAAGTAATTTTACAGCCTATATAATACGTCCCGATGATGGGAAAGGGATACGACTTAGGGACCAGCAACTTGCACCTCCAATTCCACGGGCATTGCAGATGTTCTTGGGCGACGGTGATCATTACCATCATATGAGCCGTATGCTCGTTTGCCCCCTCTTCTATTAAAAGAAGTGCCAATTTCATTATAAAAGGAATAATTACTTTTTTATAGAATAAGTGTGACCAACGAGCACATAGTCCACCTGATGGTAAGTGCATGCTGTGGACATCCAAATTTATCTTCGTTTAAGAATCAACATGCAGATGCGTTGTGACCTCCGATGACTAAGATGGAATGGTTCTAGTAAAAGTAGAGAAATTAAAAAATTTGTACAACCGACTTCAATATAAATTATTAAGCATCACTCAATAACTACTGGTCAGATCTTGATCAAATTTATAAGGGACCACAAAAGAAGCATCAGCTTTCAAATAAAAAAAGAATCATCGAAATCGGTTCACCGAGAAAAAAGTTAAAAGGTAACACACATAAAAACAACATACAGTCGAATTGAGTACCTGCTCCTTTTTAAATCCTGTTGAAAAAGGGTCTCCAGTACTGTACACTCGCCCTAAGAAACAAAGCATTATTGAGCTGCTATTATACGCTGGTATTCTGTGAGAGCGTGGTCCTTCCCCGGTGGAGCCGACCCATTCGTGCTACAACCATAATGTAGCTGCAGCGGATCTCTACGAGTACCAATGCGTGTTGGCGGACTTCAAGTGTTCCCGCAAAATTTTCTTCCCCAGACATACAAGTTCCTCACGATGTTTTCCTTCACCGACGTGCACGTGATTAAACTTGTAATTAAAAATTTCAATTGGTGCCTACGGGGATAGAACCTAACACGGGCTAATCGCGTACTGTAAAGCCGGCAATACACGTTGACCAAGCCTCAGCTAACGCAAGCGTAGGCTAATTGATATAAGGCGAGTGCTACAGTCTACATGTTGGTCAAGTTTGAAAGAGTGAACATACTGACATGGCCGAATAAAGACGGCTATACGTGTTGACCCTAGCTCGCTGAGCGAAGGCGAGTACCAACGTATAGACAACCCATTTGTCTAGCCTCGCCATAGCTTGACGCCACTGGCCTAGCTGACCAAGTCCAGGCGAGCGCCAACGTGTATACGGTTCGTTTGGTGTGCCTTGCCACCACTCGGGATCACTCGCCACGACCCGTCTCACTTCGGATTAATGTCGGATTTTTGCACAACTCAAAGGCGCTCACCTGCACTTATTTTTTATTTTATAGGATAGGGTGACAAACGAGCACACAGTCCATCTGATGGTAAGTGGTTGCTGTGACCCATAGACATCTACATCTATCCTCAATAAAGAATCCTAACGCAGATGCGTTGTCACCCGTGAGGACTAAGATGGAATGCCTCTTCTCCAGTAAAAAGGGTCTCCGGTTCTCTACACTCACCATACGAAACAGCAGTGTTAAGCTGCTATTTTACGCTGGTATTCTGTGAGAGCGTGGCCCCTCCCCGGTCGAGCCGACCTATTCGTGTTACAACTATACAATTAATATAGCTGCAGCATAGCTCTACTTACCAAAACGTGTCCAACAGTCAGCCATGTCAGTATGTTCACTCTTTAAAACTTGGCTAACATGTAGACTGTAGCACTCAGCTTTTGTCAATTTGCCTACACATCTAAATAAAACTAGTTTTACGGATTTTATCGCGAATATAAAGTTTTTTGCAATTACCAGTCCGTACTGGTTTACTTAATGATTTCTTATATTTACGCGAACACTATACATTTAAATAAAAATAGTTTTACGGATTTTATCGCGTATATTAACTTAAATATAAGAAATCATTAATTTGCATACACTCACCTTTTAACGGCGGTAGAGCCACGCGGCAGTTTTGCTGTTGCACGTATGGGCCGGCTCGAGCCGGGTTGGTACCACGACCTCACTGAATACCGGCGTGAAGTAGAAGCTCTGCTACTGCGTTTCGTCTGGTGAGTGCAGGTGGCCAGGGCCCAATTCGCCCCTCCCCCCCATCAACATGGTAGCGGAATTACACGAAAGACTACCCCACGAAAGACTAATCCCTCGCACTCGCGAACACTCTTTTGTGCCTCGGGCTGGAGTTTGCGTGTATGTCAGAGAGGACATCTGTTCAGGACGCCTCGGCAGTCTTGAAGGTTCGGACCTGTCCATCCTTTGGCTACGCGTAGACAGCGACGACCATCCGCGCGTCTACGGGTGCTTCTATAGGTCCCATAGCGGTAATGCTGAAACAGACCGACTCATGGACCACGTCCAAATGGCTACAGATTCCTTGCTACAACAGGTCCCATCCGCAGAGATCGTGATGCTTGGCGATTTTAACGCCCACCACGCCAAATGGTTCGGTTCACGTTTAACCGATCATGCGGGGAGATCTGTTTATGACTTTGCCTTGGCATATGGTATGACACAACTGGTTACTTCGCCTACGCGGATTCCAGATGTGGAGGATCATACACCTTCCCTGTTGAACCTTCTGCTGACCTCTCATCCGGACAGATATCAGCTTTCCGTCGATGCCCCTCTTGGCTCTTCGGACCATTGTCTGATCCGGAGTGTGGTGCCACTCACGCTACTCTCGCGGTTGCGTTCTGCAGGTTGCCGCCGTGTTTGGCATTACAGGTCGGCGTTCTTGGCATCCTACCCATGGGGGCGGGTTTGCTTCTCGCCGGATGATCCCAGCGCTGTTTCTGACTCTGTCACTGATGTGGTGCTACAGGGAATGGAACTATTTATTCCATCATCTGTGGTACACATCGGAGGCTGATCTCAGCCTTGGTTTGGTCGCTCCTGTAAGACTGCATTACTCAGTAAGCAGGAGTGTTATCAAGCTTGGGCTGCGGCTTCGGCGACTCGGGATGTAAACACCAGCACACTTAAATAGAAGTATAATTTCGCCTCCAGGTCCTTCAAAAGAGTTATTGCCAAGGCAAAGTCAGAGCACATAGGCAGAATTGGCGAGAAACTAGTTCGCCTTCCTTCGGGAACCCGTGCATTCTGCTCTCTCGCCAAGGCTGTCCAAGGGAATTTCTGTAAGCCATCACTACCATCTCTGCACAGGGAGGACGACTCACTGGCCCATGCCGCAAAAAACAAAGCCGACCTTTTAGGCTCCATTTTTGCGTCCAACTCGACTCTTGATGACGGGGGGAAAACACCGCAGACCATCCCGCAGTGTGAGTGCTCCATGCCGGATGTGCTGTTCTCACAGCGCTCGGTTCGCAAAGCACTCCTCTCCCTGGACATCCAGAAGTCGAGTGGGCATGACGGAATCCCCCCAATCGTGCTGAGGACGTGTGCTCCGGAGTTGGCACCGGTCCTAACGCGGCTTTTCCGGTACTCCTACTCCCAAGGCGTAGTCTCGAATTCATGGAAGACAGCTTTTGTCCACCCGATCCCTAAAAAAGGCGACCGCTCAGACCCGTCCAACTATAGGCCTATCGCCATCACCTCCTTGTTCTCCAAAATAATGGAATCCATTATTAACTGCCAGCTCATGCGGTACCTTGAGGATCACCAACTGATTAGTGACCGCTAATATGGTTTTCGTCAGGGTCGATTAGCTGGTGATCTTCTGGTCTACCTGACCCATAGATGGGCGGAGGCAGTAGAGTCCAAGAGGGCCGATTGGCCGTTATTTTGGACTTTGCCCAGGCCTTCGATCAGGTTTGGCACAAAGCGCTTCTTTCGAAGCTCCCTTCCTATGGGCTTCCCGAGAAATTGTGCAATTGGATCACCAGCTTCCTTGCAGGTCGGAGCATCGAGGTCGTTGTAGACTGTGCATGCTCCGACTACACGCCTATTAACGCTGGTGTTCCACAAGGCTGTGTGCTATCACCAACGCTGTTTCTTCTGCATATCAATGATATGTTGCTAAGTGGAAATATTCATTGCTATGCGGATGACAGCACTAGTGATGCTCTATACACAGGCCGTGCCAATATTTCTCGGGAAAACGTCACCGAATATCGGAACAAACTTCTGTTTAAAGTCGAGTCTTTGCTGACCAAAGTCTCGAATTGGGGGCGACTAAATCTAGTCCAGTTTAATCCTCAGAAGACACAAGTTTGCGCGTTTACCGCTAAAAAGAACCCCTTTGTTGTATCTCCTCAGTTTCAAGGCACTCCCCTTGTTGCCTCAGCCAGTATCGGAATCTTCGGAGTCGACATATCGAGTGACGTGCAGTTTCGTGGTCACTTGGAAGAGAAGGCCAAATTGGCCTCTAAAAAGCTTGGCGTGCTCAAAAGAGCGGGACAGTATTTCATGCCGACACACCGCCTGCAACTTTACAAGGCGCAGGTTCGGCCTCACATGGAATACTGTTCCCATCTCTGGGCAGGGGCTCCCCAGTGCCAGCTCCTTCCACTTGACGGCATCCAGCGCAGAGCGGCTTGAATCGTCGACGACCAAGTCCTTTCCGAACGGCTCGATTCACTGGCACTGCGAAGAGATGCTGCATCCATTTGCATTTTCTTTCGTATCTACCACGGGGAGTGCCCTGAGGAATTGTTCGGAGCCGCCAAATTTCACGAACGCACATTGCGGCAGAACTCCCGATACTATCCACACCATCTGGATGATTGGCGGTCCACCAATGTGCGATTTAGAAGATGTTTTCTTCCTCGCACGACTTCCTTGTGGAATCAATTACCATCTGCGATTTTTCCGGACCGATACGACTTAAGGACCTTCAAGAAAAGAGCCTACTCCTTTATAAAAGGCCGGCAACGCTTCTGCGATTCCCCTGGTGTTGCAGTTGTTCATGGGCGGCGGTAGTCATTTACCATCAGGTGAGCCGCATGCTCGTATGCCCCCTCTCCCATAAAAAAAAGAAAACTCACGTTGGCTGAGGCTTGGCCAACATGTATTGCCTGCGTAACATGTGCACACGGTTAGCCGAATGCAGATGAGCGTCTTTGGTTTCTGCAGAAAAACCGACGCTATGCCGAAGTGAGGCGAGTGGTGGCAAGGCACGTTAAACGAACTTTTAGGAGCTGATTCCATATGGGTCGCTACGGGTGACCATAATAAAAGATTGCACAACTTTTATGACATATTTATTATAGAGGGGCGTGTATTACAGTTGGTGGTCAACTAGCTACTGGCTGAAATTCTTAGTACTAAGCTACTAAGTAGAGAGGTACAACATTACTACGTAATCATATATGTGGTAGATAGATACAACATTATTAAGTATACATGTGTGTGTGCGCAGCACACCTACAAACCGTATACAGATTGGCGCTCACCTGCACTCGGTCAGTCAACGACGAGCAATGGCGAGGCCAGTCAAGTGGGCTGTCTATACGTTGGTACTCGCCTTCGCTCGGCGGGCTAGGGCCAACATGTATAGCCGGATTACGACTATTATTAAAAAAAATATTTTAAAAATTATAATTTCTTATTTCTCAAAAAATAACCAACTTTTTCGCATAAAATATAGCCGCGATTAGTCCTAGTATGGCTCTTTATCTATTCGTAAAGTTTCATTACAATCGGTTCAGAAATTCTGAAGATTAACCCAAACAGACAGACAGATAGACAATTTTTTTGGAACGAAGTTCTTTATCGGACAAAAAGTGTAAGATTTTCCGTCACGACCCCTTCTGACGTATTGTAAGACGGCCTTGGCGGCTATAAGATAGCGAGATGGAAAAATATCCATCTCCCTCGCATTTTTTCTTATCTTGCCATGAAAGAAATATTATTTTATTTTAAATGACGCTTCATTTTAATAGACGCTAGTAATTTATTTATTTGTATTTGTTAATCAATAATATTATACGTTTATCAATAATAATATACTAAGAAAAGGATTTCGTTCCAACCGAGTGTTCCACGACACTCACGCATGTTTTTTTAATTATTTTTGTCTTAATGTCAAATAATCCCTCCAGCTCAATAAAAGGCAGCTATTACGGACAGATAAGATTATATATATATATATAGATATAGGCCAGCCTTATTTTGTTGTAAAAATTATAACACTTTCAATTTTAATAACAGGTAAAAAACACTCTATGGGAGGGCGGAGTCCGAGGGGCGGCAATACTTTGGAGCCCACTTCTAGCAAAGAAGCCTCGTGTTGCGACTCAGAGGGTCCATATAGCCGACTGGCTGCCCACTTTTCTTCATGCTGCTGGAGGAAACATTAGGTAGTAATATTGTCTAAAATAGGAATTAAGTGCCATTGTTAACCCTTAGTGGCAGACTTTATTTTTTTATAGCTAGCTGTTCCCCACGACTTCGTCCACGTGGAATTTATTACGATTGGATTTCATGGGTTTCAATTTTTTTGCGCGGAACCTTAATTCTTTTTCCAAATTAAAAGTGCCCTAAGTTACTCCTAATAACATTAGTTATCTGCCAGTGAAAGTCCCTTCAATATCCGTCCAACCATTCCGGAGATTAGCCGGAACAAACAGAATGACAAAAATTTTTAAAAATTGCTTTTGTTATAAGTACCGTATATACCTACTTTCAGAAGTTGTTATTTTGATATTTCAAACAGACACTTCAATTTTATTTATTTGTATAGATATTGATTTTTCCATCACGCGACTTTTCCTTTTTTCCCCATCGGTTGGCGACCTTACCATTACTGTTGCAGCCTACAACAGTCCACTGCTGACAATAGGCCTCCCCCATAGATTGGATCATAGGGGGGATGTTTGCCATAGTTGTCACGCACTTGGCAGGCGAGTTGGTAACCGTAGTTTATTTATTTATTAGTTGTCATCAAGAAGGCGCTGCTGACCATCTCCTGGTTTTTTTCTCTTTGTCGCCACTCACAACACCCAAGGGACGATGTGTGTTGGCGGATATTCTTTCACCGTCACTACACGGGAACCGATCTTAAATCCATTCTCATAATTTAATTATTTATGCAGCGACCTGGAAAACATAGACGGTGTAAATCAGTGGAAGGCTCTGTCCGAAGATTTGGTGTCCGAGAGGAAGTCCATAGTTCACAACATCGATGATATCTTTGAAAGCGCGTCCATTACTGTTGAGCAATGGAAACTCCACAAAGGTCGGTTTATTTAATACTTTGGCACTATTGTGGTAGCACGAATGGGTCGGCTCGACCGGGGAGGGACCACGCTCTCACAGAATACCAGCGTAAAATAGCAGCTTAACACTGCTGTGTTTCGTATGGTGAGTGTCTAAACTGACTGCAGTTCTCTAGAACTGGCGACCCTTTTTACGGAAACGAGAATTTTCATGTTAGTTCTCGGAGGTGCCAACGTAACTGCATTTTGATTCTTAATTAGGGATCAATGTCGTCAAAAACGTCTATGGGCCACAGCATTTCCTTACCATCAGTTGCCCTGTGTGCTCGTTTTTTACATTTTTTCTTAAACAAAAATATGTTTAACGTGTGTATCTATGTATCTGTTTATCTATCTTGATCGACAGTGTTCTTGGCTAAAATTCAATTCAATATGTCATGAAGGCCGATTCGATTGTCTCGATAAGGATATAAAAGCAGACGAAACGACCTGTGATTTTGTACTCTTGAAGGGACCAATTACAACGGAGCGTGGGACAATTGGTACGGACCTAGCGGACGGGAAGGCAGCTATGACGTCGATCTGGTCCTAACAGGTTATGCTGGCCGAGCCATAAACAAGTTGGGCCTCATGCCGCCCGCAGACAAAATATTTTCTCTCAGGTAACAATGCTATAACAACGTATTTAAATTTTGTATGGCAGTGTTACATTTGTATAATGGACTCCGTTTGTTTTAGTATTCATTGTAAGATTATACGTGGTAAAGCCATGCTGCACCTATATTATGGTTTTAGCACGAATGGGTCGGCTCCACTGGGATAGAATTTGCTCCCGAAGAATATCAGCGTAAATTAGCAGCTTTAGCTGTGTTTCATATGGTGAGTGTAGAGAATCGGAGATCCTGTTAACCGGAAACGAGGCATTCCATATCAGTCCTCAGGGGTAATAATGCATCTACATTTTGATTCTAAATCGTGGACAAATGATTGTGTGTTTACTGTGCTCGTTTGTCACTCTCATCCTATAAAAAATAGCCTCTTTTCCTCGCTACTTCCCATGCCACTCGACGAGTGCGTGCCCGGTGCTCCACATTAGTAGATAATACCTTATAACGTCTCGAAAAAGAATTTCAGGCAATGTAGCAAATTGTAGGCAATGTAGCAATCTACGTAGGACAGGATGATAGTGCACGAGTGTATGAAAAAGCACAGTTGTGTTTATTTCCTCACTCTCATAGTTCGATGGGACGGCAATCGGACATGACCGGAGAGAGATCCGACGGGACCAACTGTTATACGTGGGTTCCGAGGCACGGGTGGGAAACACCGTAAACTTCCCGACTCCGGGCTGTTACTGAGAATTTCTTGTCAGAAAAACAACAACTTATTTGAACCTGACCCGGGATTTGAACCTGGAATCACATGATCAGCAGGCGTGCTTACGAACACTAGACCGACGAAGCAGTCGTAGCAGTATATAGCCACTATTAGGGTTAACTTAGACGGTGGAGTCGAATTAGTTGTAGAGTTGTGGAGAGATGATGATTGTATGCAGACCGTATGAATGTTACTCCGATAACTTTAATTTACTGAGCATAGATGACTGTATTAAAAGGAGAAGGTGGGACAGTTTAAACAATTATATATTATGTATTTACAATTATGCTTTACTATTTATATATGCGGCAATTAATTACTAACTAATTAAGGGAACACTAGAGCTAATATTTTCTCGAGAGTCTTCCTTTTTGAGTCTTCTTTGTTGATTGCCGCTCGAGAATCGAATGAATTGACGCGGCCGGATGCCCTTCTTTGATTTGCGCGGCGGGGGTTTCATCGTAGCTGTGTCCCCACGCGCCGTCGCTGTGCGCTCGTTGGCTGTAAGCATCACGTGATGTCCGGGCGGTGTGCGGGGAGTGCGGGGTGTGCGGGGCATAACAGGGTATGAAGGGGTGGCGGAGCGATGGGGCGGTGGCTCCCTTTGCCATCCGTAACAGCTACAGTAATAGTTCATAATGATACCATAAACAGAAACACCATATCCACAACTCTATCAACATGTACTGGTGGTACAAATCCTTTTCCGTCCAGGAGTCCGTCGGGGCAGGTACCACGCTCTTACCTACATCTGCCACCAAATAGCAGTGCTTACATCACTGTGCTCCAGTCTGCAGTGTATAGAGAGCCAGAACAATAATTGCAGGCTGTGAGGCATTCCATCTCAGTCTTCACAGACGACAGCAAATTCGTAATTTCTTCTTCCTCCGCTTCTTTGTTTGACGTTGTCTGCAGGTGTCCATGACTACAGTAGCCACTTATCAGGTGGACTATAATTTAGTTCCAAGTTCGGTTTTATTAAAAAAAATGGTATAATTGTTTTTTAGGGAAGCATCAATAATAAAGTGCAACTCGAGCATTGTACCCATAGCGTGCAATCCATTGTTAGCACCTTGCTTGTTCAACATAGAAGAAGATCCGTGTGAAATACGAAACTTAGCGGATGTGTAAGTATTCTATTCAATTTTCTACCGACTTCAAAAAGGAAGAGCTACTCAATTCGACTGTATTCTTTTTTTTTTATGTGTGTTACCTCATAACTTTTTACTGGGTGAACCGATTTCGATGATTCTTTTTTATATGAAAGCTGATACTTCTCGTGTGGTCCCATATCAATCGGATCAAGGTCAGACCAATAGTTTTGAGTTATTCTTAATAAGTTATGAAGTCGCCTCTACAAAATTTTTAATTTTAAATTATTCTAATATTTTGAAAGCTGTGCTTTTCAAGTGGTCCCATATAACTTTGATCAAGGTCTTAAGTTATTCTTAATAATTTATATTGAAGTCGGTTGTACAAAATTAGTAATTTTTAATTATTAATAGCCAATAGCATTCCGATTTTCTTCGATCTTTAATAATATTTTTCTTTCGACTATCGCTTGGCCGCAAATAACTTACATGCTGTTTCAACTGCACTGCATCAACAAGATCACTAGCGATTTAATTAAATGTCGTTATTCAATAAAATGCCTCAAGAATACTTTTTCCAAGCTGGAAGCCTTTTACTCCGGCTGAGCAATGTTTAGCTTTTTTTTATTGAATGAGTTTGACGACAAACAAGCACACAGCCCACCTGATGTTAAGTGGATGTTGTGGCCCATAGACCCATATACATTTATTCTCAATTATATGGGCCCATAATATAGATGCAGAGGGGCTCCACCACGTATGTATATAAGCTATCGGTCTTAAATTATTCTAGCTTTTATGGAATGGACTTCAGCTCTTTAAAATTATACCTTGTAAACCTCGTGCTACCAGAACAAGGAACTACTTCTGCTACTACTAGGTGGTATGACTCCCTTCCCGCCCAGGAGCCTGTCTGTATAGGTCTCTCCTTCTTACCACCTTCTCGCCTATATCTGCCACCAAATAAAAGTGCTCGCACTGCTGTTTTCTATTCTAAAGAGTGCAGCTATATGAGTAGTATAGTTGTAGCACGAATTTGTCGGCTCGACCGGGGAAGGACCACGCTCTCATAAAATACCAGCGTAAAATAGCAGCTTAACACTGCTGTGTTTCGAATGGTGAGTGTAGAGAACCGGAGACCTTTTTTTACTGGAAAAGAGGCATTCCATCTTAGTCCTCACGGGTGACATCGCATCTGCATTTTGATTCTTTATTAAGGATAGATGTAGATGTCTATGGGTCACAGCAACCACTTACCATCAGGTGGACTGTGTGCTCGATTGTCACCCTATCCTATAAAAAACGCCCTCACTTTCTCATCAAATTTTTAATACACATCCACCTGTTAAAAGTACACGTGTCCTAACTATTTTGCATCGAAACTATATTACATACTTATTATGATATAATAAGTTTATATGCAAAATAAGTAGTTATAATTTACAATATATGGTCATTGGTCACCAGTGGGCGCCGTCGAAATATAAGCCACCTCTATAGTCTTTAAAGAAATGCATTGCTATTTTTCAAAGTTTCGCCATTAAATTGAATTCTATTTTTCAAAATTTCCAGAGAGCCGAGTATCCTGACGCAGATGCTGGATGAACTTGAGCGCGTGAATCGAACTGCGGTGGCGCCCAACAACAAGGCGAACGATCCACGCGGGGACCCCAAGTACTGGGGCCGAGTCTACACCAACTTTGGCGATTACGAATTACCCCACACCAGCGCTGACTGTACATAGACCTGTTAGGGCCTAAGATCCGATGAAAAAAAAAATAGTATGCTGACATACTATTTTTTTTTCATCGGATCTTAGGCTGAGTTAAGATGATTGCACGATTTAGACACGATTAAAATAATATAAAAATATTTTTTTGGGTTTGAGCGATTTTAGACTGATTTTGAGTACCGTAAGTTTCGCCACCCTATAAAATCAAAACTAGGAGGCGGACAGAGACAAAACACAAAGTCGTATACTATAACTAATATATTACAGTCGTATACTATAATTAATATATACACTTCGAAATTCAACCTAACAAGCATTGAGTTATAATGTACAAAATTAAAAATTTTGTACAACCGACTTCAATATAAAAATAATTTATTGATTGTTTAAAAACCGCTCAATCGTTTTCGATAAAATTTAAATGGGACCACCTGTAGTGTTCCTTAAACATCGATAGACTATCGATTAATCGATAGTGTTTGCACTATCGATTCTATCGATAGTCTGGTTAAACTATCGATTGTTATCCTTATAGTAATTTTTGTCTATAGTAGATGTCTCCCTTTCGTCTAAGGTCAAAGAAATCCCTGTAAATAAACTGGGTGTGAATAGCTAATTAATATGAGTGACGTTGATTTAAGTCGCAATTTGTGTGAGTGCCAGAACGGGCGGTTGATCTTGCGTTTTATAGTTTACTGATTTGTATTGTATTTGACTTCATAATGAATCGAAAATTTATCCTATAAATCAATCATTAATAAAAAGTTATTTCTAGATAGTGGACATAGTCCGTTTGTAAAGTGTAACTTTTTTAATCAGGAATATAAAGGAAATAGGAAATACGACCAATCTAAGAGATCACTTGAAAAAAAAGAATGCCGATAAAATAGATAGGTTAGAATCAGAAGAGGAATCATCGTCTGAAAATCAAGTTCAAGCTGAAGTGTAACCAAAAAACATCTAGAAGTTCTTTTAAGAATTATTTTAATAGAAATCAGTTGTTGAAGGCAAAGGCTATTGTGATTTTCCTTTACAGTTCTACACTAGCCAGTGACAAATTGCGTATTTCTCATAGATGAGCAAACAAAAAAGTACAACTGCTCAAAGACAATCGATAGTCTATCGATATATCGATTGTCTTCTAAGAAACTATCGATTACTATCGAATACTTCAACAATCGATGTTTAATGAACACTAACCTCCTGGGAAGTATACAACCCTATGAAACAAAAAAAAGAATTTTCCAAATCGTTCAGGCGTCTTCGAGTAATCGGTGTACCTACATCAGTGTACATACATAAAAAAAAGATTACAGAAAAATAGTTGACAAAAATGATTATGTCTAGAAATAATTTATATATAAAATGAGTTTGATTATTTTTATATGATTTTTATAAGAATATCAAGTGACTTTAATCATTTTACACTATTTAAGTGTTGCCATTTACTATATTTATACTATTTTCGTATATACTTTGTAAAACTACCTAAACAACACACAAATACAAAATATTATTTATAGTAAGTTATTATTAGTAGTAATAACTATACTATCAGTAATAATAAAAATAAAAGTAATATGGTTGAAAGTAAGTCTATTACAAATAACTTCTTGCAATAAGACATTTTCTCAATCATAACAATTCCATTTAATGTCATGGCAACAGTAACTAAAACAAAATGTTACTGTATGGCACAAAAGCTCAGAAGCCTTGCCAGAAATATACATTTATAGTATGCAAATATTTAATAGGGATATAATAATCTAAAAACTCTCAATTATGTAGGTAGGTGCATGATTTTTACATGATTTTTGCCAAGTGACATAAGACATAACCTAAAATGGTTCAAATCTAAATATTTTTGACGCTTTCTCAGGATAAAATTCTTTGACAAAGTTACTCAGGGACTGACTCTTAACATTTTAAGATATTTTTGATATATAGACGCTAACATTTCTTCTCAACTAAAGAATGATGCCCATTTTTTACCTGACTATGTATAGAAATGTAATAAATCTTAAAATTCAGCTAATTGAATTGTTAATTAAATACCCTTATCACAATGTTATAAGAAACGCAGGAGAAAAATATTTTTTAATATTTATTTAAACTTATTCTAAGTCAAGGCTAAACGTATTACTACCATATTTTGAACGCATCTCATCTATCATTTTTCTAGGACGTTCCATTTTACACTCTGCTTAATTACACTCTGTTAGTCAAAAATCTCTGACTTAATTGAACTCTGTTTCTGAGTTTTAAACATTATTTTATGTTTTATTTAATCAGTAAGTATTTCTTTATTACTCTTTCTATAGTACAGATTAATTAAAAATAACATGTATAAAAGTCTGCCATTGTTCTTTACTATCTTATCACAGAGTGATCTATGTAAACAAGGCTGTAGTTTTTGAGTTATAAGAAAGTTACCATATTAACTGGATGACCATATTACCCTCAAGTACGCTACCTATACCATATTATAAAATATTAGGGACTGTATGCATAAATAAGATCACTTTTTTACATTACATTAGCGATCGCATAGGGCAAAGTAATTGTTACAGGTCTTAGAACATGTAGAACTTAGTTCTACACGTAGAACTTTTATATGTTACATCCTGTAGGTACAGGCCTCCCTGATACGGGAGAAACTCCTAGATTAGGTAGTTTTAAAATCACTTCTGTTTTATACTGATATGTTTTTTCGAGGTATTTTTATCATATTCTTTTTCTGTAACTAGGCAGTGTTGCCAAAATGTTGTCGAAAATTATAAGGTTTTGAGTATGTATGTAAAATTTCTTTTAAATAATGTATGTATTTATTCCACACTAGCTGTGCCCGCGGCGTAGCTCGCGTATATAGATTTTACATAAAGAATTTGTCGTTTAGGTAAGAGAATATTAAACGATTTATATCATTACTGTATCAATAAGTGGTAACAAATAAATCATTATCATCAAAGTTCTAAGTAGTTTATGATAGAGCTTCGGTGTAAACGACGTTAGAAGTAGACTTAGATGGGGTGTACACAAAAAGGTTACGGGGGCTACTAACGCGGGAAAAAGCATAGAGTTGGCCATGTGCAAAACAGTCAGTACTGAGGTCCACTCTTACAACGCGTAAATTTTGACCTTGCGCTTTATTTACGGTCATCGCATAACACACGCTGACTGTAACTGGGAACTGAACGCGCTTAAAACTAAAAGTAAAGTTACTTCTTAATAGAGGGTTTTTTGGCAGTGCTGCCAGATCAAAAAAACTCATTCAGCGCTAGGGCAACACAAAAAGCGCTAGATTTCATGAAAAAGCGCTAGATTTCATGAAAACAGCGCTTTAAAAAAGTCCTAGATTTCGCGCTAAATTAACTACAAACAAAGTTTGTGTTTTTTTATTATAATTCATAATTCAAGAAAATATAATCATAATAAAGAAAACAACATTAAGTTTTTTTCTGGCAATATTTTTTGATGTATCAATACTTCGCAGGACATCGACTTATAATTATGGCAATTGCTGTCAACAGTAGTTAGTACTACTCTAAGTAACTTTTAACTTAGCTGTGCTCTAAACAACTGACTAAAACTGAATAAAGCAAAATAAATGCGTTGCCAAAACCATGAACGAAAACTTTAATGAAGGGGATTTCCCCGCTTATAGTCGTCGATAAAAAAAATCAAGTTGATCATCCTAAAGGGGAAGCCGGGAGATCCATAGCACAGGGTATCCTAGTTTGGACTCGTCTCCCATGCTCTTTGTTTTATGGAAAAAATATGTTTGAAAAAGATAAACTGCAATGTACTATTTGTGGAAAAAAATAATAAAGGTCATTATTATTATTATCGGTAATGTGGACTAACAGTGCTGCTATAAAAGAGTTAATAACCCGCTAGTCACTACAATTTTGAAATGTGTGCTAAATACACCAAACAGCGCTGGATTAAGTGCTAGGTGCTAAAATTTCGAAATGCGCGCTATACATTCCAAAAAAGCGCTAAATCTAGTTCCCAAAGCGCTAAAATGGCAGTACTGATTATTATCACGACATTTCGTTGCAATTTTGTTATTTTTGTTCGGGTTCCGTTGTATGGCTTCGATAGATACAAATTTCTTCAGTAAGTCTCAATACGATTCATCGGCGAAAAATCTCAACACAGCAAATCAGAAAAGTTTGTAATTTGTACAACTCCATCTATTACGTCCTTTGTGTGAGAAAACATCCTTTTTTAAATGTCTTTTTATGTTTTAAGTATAAATATATTAATTATTATGGAACGTTTTTTTTTTTCACACAAATCTTTTTATTACTATTTCTGAGATTTTTATGGCGCCATTGAACAAATTCGAACCTACATTTTAAAATAATAATCATTAATTAATAGAATCAGGCGTTACTTTGCGGAAATCCATTATATAAAAGCTTTTACAAAAATTTTTTATTTTTTTACTTCGCAAATATCCGCTTTATAAAATAAAATGATGTGTCTTACCTAGTATGAAGAAAGCACCTCCCGCCCTCCCTCAATTGCGTGCACTATCCCCGTCACCACTAATCCCAGCACCGCTACTCCCAACACCACTACACTAGGCAAGACACACCACTGACGATAATACGACACGTGTTTCGCCTCTAGACGAGGCATCCTCAGGTGATATAGACTCTACGGTGGCTAACCGCTTACTTAGCGGTTAGTGCACGCAATTGAGGGAGGGCGGGAGGTGCTTTCTTCATACTAGGTAAGACACATCATTTTATTTTATAAAGCGGATATTTGCGAAGTAAAAAAAAAAAATTTGTAAAAGCTTTTATAATAATCATTACTTTCGATAGAATTAACCAATTTTAATAAAACAAATTTCTTTGAAAAAAAAAAGATGTTTACTTTAGACGTGATGCATTCATATAAAAACAGACAAACAGACAGACAGACAATTCTAAAAATTATAAAAATGTACTTATTTAATTATTTTTAGTTCCCCAAAATGATTTTAGTCACCAAAATATATATACAATGTACAGAAAGAGACACAACATGTTATCATCATTTTTATTATCTGTATATATTTAATTAAAGAGAGATGGCGCTGTTAACATCAACTTGATGACTCAAACAAAGCCACCGTTGAGCAAATTCCCTACCCATACTTCAGAATATTTATCATAACTTTTGATGGAATGAACCGATTTTAATGAAATAAAGACTAAATGTAACCCGAAGGTACACTTTAGAATTTCCTTAACAATTCTTATGATATAAATTAGTACTTTAAACGTGATACGTTAACAAACAAACAGACAGACAGACAGACAGACAGACAGAAAATTCTAAAAATGGTAGAAATGTATTTAATTACTTATTTTTAGTACCCCTCAATCACTTTTATTACAAAAATATAAAATGTACAGACATCTGCTATTTACAGTTTTATTATATTATGTATAGATTCTGAACAGTGTTACCAACTTTTTATAAATAATAACAAAATTCATAAAACACAAACCGATATGTGGAACAGCGTCTTCCTAATAACGACTAAAAATAAAACAGCGGTTGCCAACCCGCTTGCCAAGCGTGGCAACTATGGCAAATATCCCCCTAGGGGTCAATCTATAGGGGAGGCCTATATTCAGCAGTGGACTTTAATAGGCTGTAGCAGTAACTGTAATTGGAACGACTTTTTTATATTAACATGTATACTTGACATCCAATAAAACCAACTTGACGGATTTTATTGCGTTTAATTTAACTTATTTTTTATTCCCGACGTTTCAGGTGCTTTATAGGACCCATGGTCACGGGGTCATATTCTTTTTATAAAAAAAAAATCACGCGTATCCTATTCTGAATTTGTTATAATATTGCCAATTTTCATCAAAATCCTTTCAGCAGTTTTTGCGTGATTGAACTGCAAACATATAAACATTCGAACAAACTTTCAGATTTATAATATTAGTGGGATTAGTAGGATAGTAATATAACTCCCGTTGTATGCAGGATTTTCCTTGATAGGTGGATTTTTTTCTTTTATAGAATAAGGGTGATAAACGAGCTCACAGTCCACCCGATGGCAAGTGGATGCCAAAATGCAGATGTAACGTCTGACTGATGAGTGATGGACGTGTCGCACCTTTGCCTTCGCCTGTCGTCGGATCGCTGGTCTGGGCACTTTACGTCTGCGTTAACGAGTTGCCTATACCTACCACCATGTATCCAATAAAGGCTTAGGCAAGTAACCATGAGACATATGGTTTTTGGGAGGATTTGCGTTGGCAGATTGATGATTGACATAGGTTTTTTTTTAAAATATAATAAGAGTGACAAACGAGCAAACATTCCACCAGATAGTAGGTAGTTGCTGTGGCCCATAAACATCTACATCTATCCTCGATTAAGAATCAAAATGCAGATGCTTTACCACCCCTGAGGACTAAGATGGAATGTCTGTTTCCAGTTGGAAGGGTCTCCGGTTCTCTACACTCACTATACGAAAAACAGCAGTGTTAAGCTGCTATTTTACGCGGGTATTTTGTGAGAGTGTGGTCCTTTTCCGGTGGAGCCGACCCATTCGTCCTACGAGCATAATATAGCTGCAGCGTGGCTCTAGCACGTATCAGGTCTTTGACCCCGAAGGTACTTTTCATATAAGAGGGGCTAACGAGCATGTGGCTCACCGGCGCACGTGAACAACTGCAACATCAGGGGAATTTCAGTGCGTTGCCGGCGTTTTAAAGAGTAGGCACTTGTCCCGAAAGTCGCTAGGTCGTATCGAACCGCACAATCGCTGGTGGTAGCTGATTCCACAAAGGAGTCGTGCGAGGAAGAAAATTTTATTGTATGTCTGGCACAACCGAGATAGACATCTAGACCCCCATTTATCCGTTACAGCCTACTAAAGTCCACTGCTGAACATAGCCCTCCCGCTTGATTGCCTCATAGGGGGTTTATTTGCCTTAGTTGCTACGATTGGCAACCGCGTGGGTAGCCGCAATTTTTTATTTTTAGTCGTTATTACCAAGACGCTGCTGCCCATCTCCTGATGTGTTTCGCTCTGTCGCCTTTACGACACCCGCGGTACGATATGGGGTAGTGGATATTCTTACACCGCCACTACACGGTAACACCAACTACCGGAAGCCATGAATATAAATAAATAAACTTTTTATAATACAATTGTTTATTTTTAAATCAATCTAGAAACAAATGTTGATAATTACCTACACACTCATATATTAGTTAACCAAGAAATCGATTTTAATGAGGCAAACATTACGTGTCAATAAAAATTCGTTTAAAAAACGGTGTCTGACTCTAAGTACAAAGATGATGTCTGAGTGTGGAAGCATCGAGGGAACTTCCAATTGATTGGACTCATCACAATAACCTCCGTATGGGAAGTTTAAGTTACGAATTTGTGTAAACAATTACAAATCTTTGCGTTTGTCATTTAAATGTAATAAATATGGTTTCATTAAGTATAGAATAAAGTGAAAAATAAAATAAATTAAAACTGAGTTTTTTTTTTTCAATTACAAACTAATAAATGATCTTTAAGAATGCGAAGTTTAAATTACGAAATTGTGTAAACAATTACAAATGTTTACGTTTGTCATTTAAATGTTATAAATATGGTTACACTAATTATAGAATGAAGTGATAAATAAAATAAATTAAAACTGAGTTTTTCTTCAATTATAAACTAATAAATGATCTTTATATGACCACAACTATCCTTAATAATTAAGACAAGAGAAATTAACAAAATAACACGCTCCTATTGTTAATAATTAAATTGACTTTAAACGATAGAGTTACAAAACAAATTATTTAAGAATGTTCCTAGCCCGCTTAGTTCTGACTCCTGCAGTCCTGGTTGGTTTCTCTTTTTCCTCCAATTTTCTTTTCCCTTTCACCGATACAACCTGTTTCGGAGCATCCAAAGGCATTTCTTCGTTGCCACTTGTGTTGAAAAATGCGTCTTTATTGTATTGCTGTGAGGCTGCATCTTCTACGGCAGGCGGGCTTTGTATTGGTTCTGCCACGCGACCTACGTTTGTCGCGTTTTCAAGATTTATCTGGTAAATCACACGCGCAAATAAAGATTTTTAACAAGCTAGATATAACAAGATTTTTAAACGTGGTAGAGCCATGCTGCAGCTATATTAGTAGTATAGTTGTAGCACGAATGCGTCGGCTCGACCGGGGAAGGACCACGCTCTCACAGAATACCAGCGTAAAATGGCAACTTGACACTGCTGTGTTTCGTATGGTGAGTGTAGAGAACCGGAGACCCTTTTTACTGGCAAAGAGGCATTCCATCTTAGTCCTCACGGGTGATAACGCATCTACATTTTGAGTCTTTATTGAGGATAGATGTAGATGTCTATGGGTCACAGTAACCACTTACCATCAGGTGAACTGTATGCTCGTTTGTCACCCTATCCTATAAAAAAAAGATCACTTTAATAAAGACAACGGATGTCGAGATAACATAAGTATTAATAATGTGGGATGTATGATTGGGATATGGTCATTGTTAAATAAAATATTATTTAGTGTATAGGATTAAGATATGACGTGATGGTAGTAAAGAAGAGAAGATATTGTTACGACAGGCAGTTGCGTATTGCATCACGTTGCACGAGAATGTTCCCGACGAGACTATTGTTATCGTTATGTAATTGCCAGTGTTCTAGTACTTTCCGGTTGAAACAGTGGAATGGCCTGGATTGGCCTAGAAAGTTCTATATTCCTTTTATCGAATATAAAATCGTGAGCCGACGATCTAAGAGTTGGGTTATTTGGGAACTCGAAAGTGAACTCTACTCCGGGAAGCGACTACGAGAATTTGTCCTACGACATCTGCGATTAAGGGAGGTCCTTAATCGCAGATGTCGTTGGACTAAAGAAACTTAGCGTTTTTGGACGAAGTAACTATAAACTTTGTGTGTCGAAAATAACATCCATTTCTCATCCTAATGGGCAGTTTTACTCGCCCCGCAAGTAACAATATCAATGAGGTATGTGTGAGAGAGAGGTGTGATGTGAGACGACTGAGTAAAAGATAATCTGTTCGGTTTGGGAGAGGAAGGACGGATGTGTGTAAATTAAAAACTTTAGAAGATGGAATATTTTTATTTATTATCTACTACCTCACAAAATGATTGCGCATTGTATATATGTAAAGGCGGCCAATAATCTGCATACCTTCTCTTGCTGATCACATCGGGACCCCATGCCTCGGAAAGCCATTGAAGCTGTTGGTCCTGCGCCTGATCTCTCTCCAGTCGTGTCGATACCGTCCCATTGGACATGAGAGCGAGGCAATAGAGATTGCACCTGTGCTTGCGCACACACTCGGCCACTATAAGTCTGTCCTGCGCAGATAGCAGCTGGTCACGGTTGAGTCCAGCCGCCTTGATTTAAACTCGGTCTGGAAGACATTATGTGAGGCGATCAAAGATCTACATACCTTCTCCATGCAGCTAGATACATTCTCAACGGGATCGGGCCTGCTCTCTTGCGAGGCGAAGGTCGCTGCTAGAAGACGGTTCTCGTTGTTTTCTGCTCCGGTGTTTAGGAAGAATTTGCCGACTGCTTTCAGCCGTTCCTTGTTTATCTTTTGTGGGAGTTCCGGGCTATTCGAAGACAAAAGGTAAAACTAAAAAACTTTCGGTAAGTAAAATAGTTCTGCTCTATTTTGGGTTAACGTCTTTCACATTTTTATTCTAGTTTAAAAAAAGAAGACATGCTCACGATTATTATTAATATTTCAACCGACTTCAAGGAGGGGGAGGTTCTTTGGAGTGTATGTTATTTGTGTGCATGTTACACGATATCTTCGCAGATTGTGAACCAATTTTGATGATTCTTTTTTTTTATTAAATAGGTTATACTTCAAGGCTGGTCCAATACAACGTTATTTTTCAAAGAGTAGCCAAACTTTGAACTTAAGTTCAAATATATAAATAATGATATACCTTATTGTAGTTTTGAAAATACGAGTATATAAGGCTTCTCCTTTTATTTCAAATTATCCCAAATTGAATGTGATTTTATGGGCAACAACGTTTTTGCCTACCGATCGACCCTTACGAATGTATATGCGAGCGCAATAAAATCAGTTAAAATAATGCATTACCACGCATTTTGAATTCAAAAGATAAAAAGTCCATAATGTTTGAGAATTTAAATTGATTTTAAATTAATTTTTCTTCACCAAACCTGATACCATCAATAAAGAACTTTCCGTGATAAGTCAGAACATGTTTTGTGAGTATATGTGTAGGTGCAGACGTAGTTACTCACTCAGCATCCTCCAGTGCATCTAAAACTCCGTGAGAGCGCAGCATTTCGATGAGTTTGCGTGCGTGACTGTTAGACACGCCCAGAACAGAAAGTTGCGGCGCGCTCACGCAAGTGCGCGTTGAGCACCAACTCAGCGTAAGACGGTATAAGCACAAGCTCTGCAAGTCAAACAAAGTTGTCTATATACGTCTCATACGTAGCGTGTAGTGGCGATGTAAAATTATTCACTACCCGCGACAGAGGGAAACAAATCAGGAGATTTGCAGCAGCATCTTGCTAATAACGACTAAAAATAAACAACTGCGGTTGCCAACTCGTTTGCCAAGCGTGGCAACTATGTCAAATATTACCTATGAGGAAATCTATGGGAAGCCTTTTAAAATCCACTGCTAAACATAGGTCTCCCCCATTGATTGCCTCATAGGAGGGATATTTGTCATAGTTGGCACACTTGGGCTTGCGCTTGGGAAAATAGGCAAGCGGGTTGGTAACCACATCTCTTTATTTTTAGTCGTTATTAAGAAATGCTGCTGAAAACGATTCTTACACCGACACTACACGGTAAGGTGGACTGTTAGTTCGCTTGTAACTTCAGTTATATATTAATCTATGAAAAGGTAAAAGTTGCAAAAGTGTTCGGCTCGAGGGACCATTTTCTTAAAAATGTTTTTGCCTTTAAGAATGGGTTATCAGGCAACAAGCATTCATTTCATGAAAGTATCACCCGTTGTCACGACACTGAGCAGACGCGTTGTTGATAACCTCGAACTGGTAATGTTGCTCTCCATCACCAGTGTAATGGTTTTGTATAAAACATTTTTGGATAAATTTTACGCCATAAGTTAGTCGTCAGAGCCTCAGTTTTCTTTTTTTTATTTCTTTTCTTAAAAAACGTTACCCACAAACTAGGATTTTCTCCTGTATCGTGGAGGCGGTTTACAAACACAAAGACAAACATCCAGACCCGGAACAATTATTTGCAGGCCATACAAATACTTGTTCCGTGCGGGGTTCGAACCCGCGCCCCCCAGCGCAGCAAGTCATTGCTAAGCCACTGCGCCACGGAGCCGTCTTTTTTGCCGTAAATCAGTTCACTGCGCCGATGTACTAAGTCATTTCTTCAAAATGTGTCGGCGCACAGCGCAGTAGTGTGTGAGTGAGTTGACAGATGTGTTTTTTGCGCTACGGCGGAATTTTGAGTTAAAGTGAGCCGGCGCAGTAAAGTGCGCCTGAATGATCCACGGCTTTTCCGACCACTAGGGCAGCGCCACTAGAAAGTGAGGTACCTACCTATAATATTTGACAGATTTTATAGCGGGGAAATTAATTTGTTCGGAAAATGTAAAGGTTATTGTTTCTTTTTGCACTATTAGCTATATTTTATATTAATAAGATTAAAAATAAATAAACCAAACCACAAATATTCATAAAAGTATAAAAATTAAAAAAAAAGTTAAATATGTGCAAAAAAAATTAAAGAGCAAACCACTGACGCATTGTTTTGTGTATTTATTTAATACTCTAGAAACTGATAAGCTTTTATTAAAAACCAACTTCTCAATTAAATGACACTGTGTAACAAAAAACTTTACCTCAGTGTCAACTAGCGACATCTGGTGAGCAGAAAATTATTAGCCCTCTTTACTGAGTTAACGCAAGGAATTTAGCCGAGTTAACCGAGGCTAACTCACAGGGCAATGTTTTGTAATGCTTAAAAATTTGTGTTTGATTGCCAAGTAATGTCAGAGTGTCACCAGCCTAAATTTAAACCTATTATACCTTCGACTTAAACAAAAAAAACAGAGGCAGTCATAAGGATTACCGACAGAAGTGAAAACTCAATGATATATGCGTATACATCACACAGTAATTACTTATTATGTATTATGAAAATGTGAAATGTGAAAATGGTTTCGAAAATAAAATTTCTTCTCAATATAAGTGATACAAAGCGAAAGTGATCGGTCTTACCTCCCTGTGCTTGAGTCTGAGTGACCCCAGCCTGTCGTCGGTGGGCTCTCGCGTGGGATCGGAATCTGAGCAATTGGTGCAGCAATGTCGCTCGATACTCGCGATCCGTTCTTTCGGCACGCCGAAACAAACCGCGTGCTGTTTTGTCTTGCAGTAGCTTTATACAGTAAAGACAAGTATAAGTACAAGTATATAAATATGTAACTAATATACATAGTATATAAAAGAAAATATTGTAAAACTTAATATATAATTGGTAGTATCACTTTGAATTGTATATATAATGTTACTTTTAACTACTTACTACTTAATGTTTTAATTTATGAATACCATTTAGCTAGTTTTATTCTTGTATATTTTTTATTTTTATACAACATTTGCCAACTTTGTAAAAACCAACTTCTCAATTAAATTACATTGTGTAACAAAAAACTTTACTCAGAGACCTTTTTTATTGGAATATAATGCCTCGTGCATTACATCTTGATCCTCGGTTGTGAAAACTCATCTGCAATTTAATTATTATTAGAGGGTAGATCACTATGGGCCACACCATGCACTTACCATCAGGTGTACTGTCACCCTTATTGTATAATAAATGCCAAAAAACCTAATGGCTTCGAAATTATCGGCACAACCATCTCCTTTATCCCGGACGGAATACACTCAGAACGGCGATCACGGCTGTTACTGCGATGGCCAAACTGCCTGCCAAGTGTAAGAATTTTGACACATGTGACATGCCCTATACAAGGGGAGTGACTCCTGGACAGCAGTGTAGATAATGATGACATGTATTAATTTTTCTGGTGTTTTGTTGTTAAAGCGTAAACATTGACTCATAAATCCATTCCATCCAACAATCCATCCAAGTCCACTGCTGAACATAGCCCTCCCCATAGATTGTCTCGTAGTGTGGATTTTGTAAACGCACTATAAGTATACGCACAATAAATAAAAAGACAATATTAGAATACAACTCACAAGCAAGTCAACATATCCGAGTCGTACATTTCGGCATTGTTATAGGTGTTGCACGGACAGCGGAGAACGACCTCGCTACTATCAGTTATTTGTCTGCGGGATGATCCTGGAAAACAACCCCTTTATCAATAGTGTTCGACTATTTAAAACTGTCGATACTATTAGATAGCAACGATTGTTAATATCTGACACAGGCTCGGGTTAAACGACTTAACTACCAATTAACATTACTTTTACGGAATATAAAATTAATAGAATGATTCGTGCTGTTTTATGTTTATCATGCCTGCCTATTTCATTGGTTAATTTTAATAATAAAAATAACTCCGCCCCCTTTCTTTTTCACACTTTTTTGCGAATTTATAGATTTATTTATATTTATTTTATGAAGCCTCTATAAAAATAAAGTGTATTTGTAAATTAACGCGCATGAGATAATGCGTGCTGAATTTTTTATATTATTATATTCTGTAGTTAAGTAATTCGAACACAGTAATTTAAACACAGCAGCTTAATGCTGCTGTGTTTCGTATGGTGAGTATAGAGAACCGGAAACCCTTTTTACTGGACAAGAGGCATTCCATCTTAGTCCTCACGGGTGACAACGCATCTGCATTTTGAGTCTTTATTGAGGATAGATGTAGATGTCTATGGGTCACAGAAACCACTTACCATCAATATTTACATTTAAATACAATATTTTTCGTACAATCTTTGTACCCACGTTTTGAAACATTTTTGAATAATAAAAAATGAACATTTTTTGAAGTGAAAACTTCTCTAGCCGCGATTTTTTTGTAGGGGAAAAAATTATAGGTTCGCGTCACCGACATGTACTTGGCACATGGCTTGCGCCAGACATGCCCTGGTAACTTAAAACATTTTTTATTTATTATGAAAAACGCCATCTATCCCACATACATGGAGCTTTTTATTGCAGTGTGACCACTCTTTTTTACTTGGAACACTTGGTACTTTAAAATAACTGATAATTTTGCTATTTTTCTTTTATTGGTCCAGGTACACAAAAATAAATGATTTAACAACAGTATAATTTATTTTAAAAATATTTTATATTTTTTTGTATTACTACATAGTGATATTATAATTTATATAGTATTTATTACAGTTACGATCTTAGAATCTTTAGAGTAGTTTATTGATACCAAATTTTAGCAACACTGAGTCGAACTTGAAGAAATTTTTCACCGGCGTGTTTGCATACTCGTGCGCATTTTCTTGTAATTTTTGGTGTTTTTTGTGTTACTACGTTGAATCGAGCTTCAGTTTCTTCGTATATTCCAGAAATACCGAAATTCCAGCATAGACTGTACTTTGTGAAAGTGTTTTGGACATACATGTTGATAGGCCCCCGTAGGGAGTTTGGACCATATATCTCAGTGTAGTGTTATTTTACATTTTACACAATGCCTCGAAATATCTTCTGTGTTCCTGGGTGCCAAGTAGTAGCAGAAGATGGTGAGTAAAGTGTGTTTTTATATTCTGAAGTTTCATAACCTCAATAGTCTTTTAAACAAATATGTGTATTCTACGCTGGCTTATATTCCACGTGCCTAATACACCATAAACTGGTTAATCTGTTTTTAACAATTAAAAAGCAGTAAAAAACAACATTTCTATTTATTCAGTAAGTCAAAAATTCTAAAATACCATTGGTTCCTATAAGGTTTTTTAACATTTAGAAATCATAAATGCTACATGTAGGTTCTTATTCTAGAATGACGCTCAAACACAGCTTTACTTGAGAATGATTTGAGTCTATCATTTCATACAAATACGTCACTAAGATGTGCTCAAGTTGAGATCGTCGCCAAGTGTCGTTTTAGAATACGGGCCGTAGTCTGTCGGCTCAGTTAAGTCATAGTAAACCTTAGAGCAAGGACTAAAACATGATAAACTGGTAAACAATCTTGACATGTCTTTTTTCTCAATTTGCAATTAAAAGTTGAGTTTCTTGCATGTTTTTCTCCATCGGAATCTACATTTACGAACATGCACCTAAAGTCTCGACTTTCAAAAGTGCCTATTGATATGGTCTAAATGAGTAAATAAGATTTGACTTAGATTGAAAAAATCTCTAAATTTACTAATGAATCTAAGACAAGCCACCGACTTAACTATTACATAGAGTTCACAAGAAGTTTTATATATATTTCATTTGTAAATTCTTAGATTTTTGAAATGCAAGGTAAAGTGAAAAGACATAATTATATTATCAAGATTCTTTATCTTTAGTAAATAACCTAGACCGACTGAGAAAATGATGAAAATTATTAATTTAGTTGATTGTCCCTATGGTACAAAACATCATCCTTGATATCAGATGATATATATGTAATTATAATAAACTCTCTCACATAAAATGTGGGTCTATACATCTGCATCTACCTACACCCCTTTAGCCGGGCTTTTGAGTTTTTGAAATTGTCTTTTATAACACTGCTAGTCTTTAGAACTCTGAACTAAGTGATCTAGAAAAATAATTATGATTAATTATTTATCAATAACTTTATTTATTTTATTAAATTACATTATTATGTATTGTAAAATAATGTAGAGTAACTTAGAAAGATTAAAAATCACATTTCAGTCAGGCCCATTATAGTCACTTTATTTTATTTTCAGGTGTACCTCTACATTACTTTTCATGTCCTGAGAAAGATGCAGATTGGTTTCATAATTGGGTAAAGATTATTGTAGGTGGTATTGTGAGTCTGGACAACACCACTGTCCGTAAAACTCATAGAATCTGTCGTCAGCACTTTCAGAAAGTTTCTTTACCCAAAAAACAGGCTTTGTAAATTGGCTGTTCCATCTTTGCTTTTACCCTCTGCAGGTGTATCAGGTAAATCAGTTTTTGATTAAGTTTATTTAATAATAGCAACTGCGTTAGTTTCACACAGGTTATAAATGAATGTACAATAAAACATATATTTATTGTTCATTCATTTATAACCTGTGTGAAACTAATGAATTAAGTGAATTAACCAAAAACAATATAATATGTTTTTGCAATTTGTTTTAATTACAATATATTTAATTAAAGGTATGTGGGACAAATTTTTGTTAGGCAACCCGGGAGTAATGTAAGTCATAATCATTAAACATTAATTTGAATTGAGTTTCAATAAAATTTGGTACCTACATTTTCTTTATAAAAACAAAATGGCATTATAGCCCAGCGGTCAAACAATTGCATTTCATGCAGGTTATGTGAGGAACAGAATTTGATTATTGATTACTTGCGTTAACAGTGCTGGAAAACATCGGGAGGAAACCTCCACACCTGAGAGGGCCTCATAAAGTTGTCAATGTGTGTGAAGTCCGCTAAACCACATCAGGGCAGCATGTGGACTAAGGCTTAATCGTTCTACTTCTGAGAGGCCAGTGCCTAGCAGCGGGACAGTAATGAATTATTATAAACAATATCAGTAGCCGAAAAATGATTTGTATGATGCATGTTTTATGAGGCACATAATGTACACTTGGTGTGAAATGCTTCTAAACATTATCCAGTAGTTTAGGATGCCCCAATAAAAAAAAAGCAAATACAACAATTTAATACTTATATATATTTAACATAAAATTTTCGTTTCTAGAAAGTGGGTGCTTGCCAGAGGAAAGTGTGGACACTACACATTTGATAATGCTGTTCAACAACCTGTTCGACTAAAATTAACATAAAGAAGAAGGTAAAATATACAGATCTGCTGTCACACCAAACTCATTCCATTTAAAATTATGGAACAAAACATTACCCATTTTAAGGTCAATGAAGTAAATAAATACTAATGGTAAAAAGGTAACTGTACCATCTCTAACCAGTTGGGTAAAAACTATAGAAGGTTTTAAATTAATAACAAATAAGTTAAGGGCAGAAGAAGTAAATTCATTATTGTTACGTAATGTAAACCAACACCCTTTGGAAAACTTTTTTGGGGCAATAAGCGCTCATGGCTATAATAATGTAATGCCCAAGTCAGCGGCTTTTGAAACCGCATTTAAAACATTATTAACAAATTAATATAACATTCCCACACTCCTTAGAAGGAAATTGTGAATAATATGACAGTATATGTTTAAAATCATAAAAATCTTTAATATACCAAAATTGTAATGTGGAAGATGCTAATGACTTAATGGAAATTATCAATGAACATTTAAATATTGATTTAATAAATACACAACAAATTCGAGAAAGCCGTTCCCAAGTTCATGTAGAGAAATGCGCGGCCATAGTTTATTGTAGTGGGTAGATAGCAACCAAAGCAAAAAAAATTATATTTAAAAAATGTAAAACATGTCAAAATAATTTAATATCATCAAATAATGAAGATTTTCACTATTTTATAATAAAAAAAGAATATTGTGGCAAAAGATGGTTATGCTATACTACCCGGTTATTGTTTGACTTTTTTGCACAAGTAGAACACATAACATGGAATATTTTAAATAAATGCACATGTAGAAAACATTGTTAAATATATCATGCTGTTCTGTCTACATCAACTTAAATTTTATGAAATGTGAAAAACAAAGAAAATTTAAAGAAATATTTGGTCCATAAAAGTGTTGTGTTCTTCATAATTACTTGGTGCAACGAATTCAGCAATATACTCAATGGCAAGAGCTATTATAATTTATGTAATGATAGTGATGAAAATGTCTCCATTTTCCTACAGGCTCGAGAACATTACAAGGGTGCGAAACGAGAGGCAAAAAGGCGTCGAAATTAATGTATTAATGTATAATTAATAAATTTATTGAATTATATATTTTCGTATTATTTATCTCATTACCTTTACCCGAATACCCAAAGATACTTAAACTTGTGTGTCTAAAAACATCACCAAAAATATGCTTACTTCAAAACACTGTTTAAGTATCTAAAACGAAATATAAATAATATGTATAGGTACTTACGTATGAATTGCCGTTTTATTTATAGATAAAATATTCTATCTATAAATAAAACAGTAATTCATACGTAAGTACCTATACATATTGCCATATACGCAACTATATATATATATATATATATATATATATATATATATATATATAATGTTTCATTTAGTTCATTGCTTCGCGTTCAGAGGGCGCTGAACGGTAACTAAATATGAAAACTTCAGTTGCCAGTCTATCTCCAGTATTATATATTAGTCTATGGCGCCAGACTAGCGACGCTTAGTATAACGACTGTATACATGTATATGCATATATTATTGAGTTTTCACTTCTGTCGGCCTCCGTTTTGTTTTCTTCTTTTTTCTGGCTGCCTCTATTTTATTTTTTATTTTAGAGTACTTGCTGGTTTTTTTTTCCAAAAAAAATCATTAATTACTTCTTCTTCATACAAATTTGAATCCCTCTGTTCCGTAGTGTTGTTTTGAAAAATAGCAAAATACAAATTCATTTATTTTATTTATTATTTTTTGTCTACTGTCTGTCTGTCGTTCCGGGTGGAATTAGTAGTTGCTTTTAAACTAACGTTCCGAATGAGCTGGATACTTGAAATTTTGAATATATCACAAATTCGGATGACAATGCAAGAATATGATAAAAACGTAGTATATTAAAAAAAATACTACAAAATTAAAAAAAAATAACTTGTTTCATAAAAACTTTGCATCCTCGTTTTTAGACACCTTACCACTTTAAATTAGGGCGGCGCTACAATAGCAGCAGGGTAATTTTTAAATTAATCATTTTAATTCAAATTTTTTGATTAATTTAATTTTTAAATTAATAACTTTTTGTTCAAAATTAGAAAACAAAAGTTCATCAAAAACAAAATTATAAATAATTTCACAAGTGTCAATTTTTGGATTAAAATAATTATGAGAATAAATCATAAACACATTTGAAAATATTTTTATTGGCATAAAAAAATAATTAGTCTTTATATATTTTTGTTAAGTCGGCACACTTCAATCAATTTACAACTGCTACATTCACACCATACCGTGTATCTACGCTAGCGCCATTGTGGAAGCTTTTTGAATTGTTATTTACAGCTTACCGCTGGACACTTTTTCATCCTGTCCCCCATATGAGATAGTCCTCCTTACCTCTATACATACATACAATTTATTTCAAAACATAATTACCCTCATTCTGGAGAATCCGGGTTAAGATTTAAAATTTGTTCTTATCATCATCATCATCATTACAGCCTTTCATAAGTCCACTGCTGAACATAGGCCTCCCCCAAGGAATGCCACAAAGCACGGTCCTGAGCCACCTGCATCCATCGACTTCCTGCATGCCTTACCAGGTCGTCACTCCATCTCGTGGGGGGTCGCCCTACACTTCGCCTACCGGTACGAGGCTGCCACTCGAGAACCTTTCTTCCCCATCGGTTGTCGGTTCTTCGAGCTATATGGCCGGCCCACTGCCACTTCAGCTTACTAATCCGTTGGGCTATGTCGGTTACTCTAGTTTTACTGCGGATATCCTCATTTCTAAGTTTATCACGCAGAGAAACTCCGAGCATAGCTCTCTTCATAGCTCGCTGAGCGACCTTGAGCTTCCTCATACGGCCAGCTGTGAAGGACCACGTCTCAGTTCCGTAAGTCATCACTGGCAACACGCACTGGTTGTACAATTTCGTTTTAAGGTTTTGAGGTATGTCTGACGAGAAGATGTGTCGTAGCTTCCCGAACGCTGCCCAGCCGAGTTGAATCCGTCGATTGACATCTCGGTCGAAGTTGGACTTACCTAGTCGGACTATTTGTCCCAGGTCAATAACTTCGAGCTTAGTGCTCCCAACAACTAGCGGCATAGCTGTGACATGGACATTAAACATAATCTTTGTTTTGTCCATGTTCATCTTAAGACCTATCCGTTGGGAGACACTATTGAGGTCATTGAGCATAGTGCTTAGGTCCTCCAGCGATTCTGTCATAAGGACTATATCGTCGGCAAATCGAAGGTGAGTGATGTACTCGCCATTGATGTTGATACCGTATCCTTTCCAGTCCAGAAGCTTGAAAACGCCTTCCAATGCAGCGGTGAAGAGTTTCGGGGATATGACGTCACCCTGTCTTACATCTCTCTGCAATTGGATAGGTTTCGTACTCTGGTTCTGTACTCGGATAGCCATCGTAGCTCTACTGTACAAACACTTCAACACTTCGATATATCAACAGTCAACTTGGCACCGCTGAAGGGACTGCAGCACCGCCCAAATTTTGACGGAATCAAAGGCTTTCTCATAGTCCACATACGCCAGACATAGTGGCAAATTGTACTCTTCGGACTTCTGTACAATTTGCCGAAGGGTATGTATGTTTTCTGTGATGCTAAAGCCCTTTCGGAAACCGGCTTGTTCGGGAGGCTGGAAGTCGTCAAGTCTGCGCGTGAGACGATTCGTAATGACTCTCGAAAACAGCACGTAGACGCGGCTCAGAAGGGAAATCGGTCTGTAGTTCTTCAAGAGAGCGTTGTCACCTTTCTTGAAGAACAAGACCACCGCACTTCTGCTCCACGCCTCCGGTGTAATGCCACCATGGAGGCATTTTTGTTCTAAAGTGTAGGAATTGTTTTCAAGGCAGTTGAAATAACGAGAACAGGGCTATACGAGAAGGCAGTAAGCAGAAATCTAAAATAGAGCACTATAGTACAAGTGAAACTTACCCGTCAACTCGGCCATTTCATTTTGTGTCATCACTGGCGGATTTTGAGAGGCCTGAAATAATGATTTTCTATAAAAATCACTTAACAACATATCTCTATAAATGTTCTCTCGGTTTTAGAGTCTTATGGAATATTTAGAGACGATGGCAGGAGACCCGACGGTATGACATTGGTCCCTTGAGAGAGAGGTAAAGCCCTAGTGTGGGATGCTACTTGCGTAGACACTCTGGCGGCCTCTCATCTCAGGGGTACCTCGTTTAGAGCGGGGGCGGCATCAGAGGCAGCTGAACTGAGTAAGTGGCGCAGATATGAGTCTCTGAGAGACGACTAGATATTTGTGCCATTTGAGACTATGGGTCCGTGGGGTCGACGTGCGGTGAAGTTCCTAAAGGAACTCCATCCGCGGCTGGTTGTTGCTGCTGGTGATAAGAGGGCTGGTTCTTTTCTCGCTCAAAGGCTAAGTATCGCCATTCAGCGGGGAAACGCAGCCAGCGTTCTAGGCACGATACCGCAGTACGACTGTATGATAATTAAGTTACTAGTTTAAGTTTTTATTTTTTTATTATAGTTTTTAATATGGTATATTTAAAATTTTAAATCTCAATAGGATGAAATTTGAAATTAGTCACATATTAACGGTGATTCTGTGGTATTGGACGCGGGATATCTCTATAAATATATTCTATTTGTAATTTTACGACGGTAATACCGCCATCCATCTGAAGCCATAAGATTGTTCAGGCATTTCGCATAAGCGCGTCTTACGACCTCCACGGGGCGAAATGAGATTTTGGACTCTCTGGCGGCGCCACCACACGGTATATAAATATATTATTGTCTAAATGCAAATAACATTCATATCTTCTTTTTTACTAGCTCGTAACAACCCACTGCTGAACTTGGACCTTCACTGTAGGAATGATTTGCCAGTAATCGCAAGCTTGGTAGCAGATTGACGAACACAAAACCTAATGTCTATGTTTAAGTGCTGATTTATTACCTTCTCGGCGGTGAAGGATAATATCGTTGGGAAATATGTATTTCTGTGTGTCTGAGAACTTAAAAAGCAATATTTCAAGCACATCTGGACTCCACCCACACGCCTTGGGATAATGTAACGGACTATTAATGACCCACAAACGCTCATATTAGGTCGGGGAAAAGTTTCTTCGAATTTTATATACAAACTCAAGACATTTGTTTTTCAAAGTTTAATTACATTTAATTATAACGAATATGTGCCATTTTGTTCGATAACGTGTTGCCATCTTGTAGGTAGTGATATAATCTCGTTACTGTAGAAATCTTGGGATTTTTGATTTTAAAAAATGCGACAAATAGTTTAGACAGTCCTCTCTTGATGTCAACCTAACACTACCCAAAGAATTCTGAACAGACCGAAAAGGGTGAAAATCTGAGGATGCAAGGTCAGGACTATATAGTAGATGCATTAACACTTCCCAAATAAGCTCTCTCAGTTTTTGCTGAGTGGCCAAGGTCGTGTATGGTCTGGCGTTATCATGATGGAAAGACCACTCCTTTTCTGTTGATCAAATCCGAATGTGTTTTCTCAATTTCTTGCTTGAGTCCCATTAGTTGTTGACGGTCTACCGTCTACAACTAATGTCGATATCTATATCCGACTCGATAGTTTTGCCCGGCGGTAAAAGCTCATAATAAACTATGCCCTTCCAATCCTACCATACACACAGCATCACAATCGAGAAAAACAATTGAAATGTGGCGGAAAAGTGTTTTTTACCTCTTTTTTAGGGTTCCGTACCTCAAAAGTAAAAAACGGAACCCTTATAGGATCACTTTGTTGTCCGTCTGTCTGTCTGTCTAACTGTCTGTCTGTCTGCCTGTCTGTCAAGACCCTTTTTCTCAGGAACGCGTGGGGGTATTAAGCTGAAATTCATAACAAATACTCAAGTCTACTGTCCCTTGGAGCTGTGAAAAAATCAAACTTCTAAGCCAACTCAATCAAAAGATACAGCCGTTTATGCCGCAAATTTTCGACATTCGCAAGGGAATCAAAACCTACAGGGTACTTCCCGTGAACTCAGAATCTTAAAATTTGGTACGAAGCAACGTTTTATAGTACAGATAAAGGAAAAATTGCGAAAAGCAAAAATTTTTAGTTACATCATATAATAAAATATTTTTAATAATTTTAAACTTATATACCTACGGATTTGTTCGGAACCCTCGGTGCGCGAGTCCGACTCGCACTTGGCCGGTTTTTTTTTAATGTCCTATATGTATTGATATTAAAACCAGCCAGATACAAACATTACAACCAACGAGATTTTTCTTCAATTTTAGACAAACAAAATACGAAGAAACTTTTCCCCGACCTATTAGTTATAATGCGAGGCCTGTACCGAAATGTGGGGCGTATACAGGCTGCCACTTTTAACTCCTTAAATAATTATACGATCTTTGCGAACATGTGAATTCGATCTGGGACAGGGCAGCGATCCTTCCTATTTCATATACCTTCAGTATGATGGTATGCAGGCTTCTGCCCAGCGGTGGGACGTAGGTGTGTAGGTTGTAACTATACTCACGATAGCCTCGTGACTGGATCTGAGGTTGTCCTTCATGTAGGACCTGGCTACCAGCTTGTGGAAGGGCGTCTCCACCCAGCCCAGCTTGATGGTTTCCGGTAACGTTGGGGACAAGTGGTCTTCCGCGATGTTGGCGCTCTGGAAGCCTGGTGCTTGGTAGTCCTTCGGTGCGTCTGAGTGTAAGTAGTTATTGAGATACGAATGACTGATGAGTAATAACAGTCCACATGACAGTTAGTGGCTTATTTTAAATAGAATTAAAGTGACAAACGAGCACACAGTGCAGCTGATGGTAACTTTTTTTTATAGAATAAGGGTGACAAACGAGCACACAGTCCACCTGATGGTAAGTGGTTGCTGTGGCCCATAGACGTCTACATCTATTTTCGTTTGCGAATTAACATGCAGATGCGTTGTCAGCCGTGAGGACTAAGATGGAATGCCTCTTTTCAAGTAAAAAATGGGTCTCCGGTTCTCTACACTCACCATACGAAACACAGCAGCATTTAGCTGCTATTTTACGCTGGTATTCTGTGAGAGCGTGGTCCTTCCCCGGTCGAGCCGACCCATTCGTGCTACAACTATACTATTAATATAGCTGCAGCATGGCTCTTACCACGTGTATAACTGGATGATGTGGTCCATAGACATCTATCCTCACTAAAAATAAAAAGGCGGGTGCGCCGTCACCTCTGATGGCTGAGGAGGAATCTTTAAAAACCTTAACCGTGTTGTGACAGTGTAGAAATATCCACTCCCTATATCGTCCTTCGGGTGTCGTAAGAGACGACAGAGTTCATTATCAACCAAAAAATAAATAAGTAGTAAAATTAAAAATTTCGTACAACCGACTTCAATATAAATTATTAAGGATAACTCAAAAACTACTGGTCAGACCTTGATCTAATTTATATGCGACCACATGAGAGGCACCAGCTACAAAAAAATCCAAAACGATTCAGGCGTGCTTTAAAAACAAAGATTCCGGCAAATTGAGAACCTCCTCTTTTTTGAAGTCGGTTGAAAACTGCGGTTGCCATCTCTATTCACAAGCGTGACAAGTACGTATATCACCTCCCTATGGGGGAGGCGGCCATAGCGGTAACGGTATAGCTTTATAATCTCTGGAGCTAGACCAGAGACATGGGAGCTCACAGATCATGCAGACACCAAGGAAACCCCTAATTTATGTTTCTACATAATGTTGATGAAAACTTGCAGCCGCGTGGCGAGCCGTGGTAGCTCAGGGAATAATGGCTCGCCCTAAATGTCACAGTATACCACCAACCCGGCTTGTATCCCTGCTAACACTAATGACATTGATAATTGCAATTTTAAGAGCTGATGGCAAATCGTGATAAGCAGTGAAGGAAAATATCGTGTGTCACTAACGCGCACTGCAGCAGCGCGGTGGACTAATTGACTAATAACCTTCACAGTTATAAGAGGTCTATGACCAGCCGTGGGATGTACAGTCTGTACCCTTAATTTTACTTAATACCAATAATAATTGAGAGGCAATCCCGTAACCTGCAGTGCCGCAAAATACATGGCCAGGACGAACGTAAAGTCATACAAATAAGACAATTACCTTCGTTATAGTAGAGGCGCAGGCTGATGTCATAACACGGCGGCAGTTCCAGTTGACAGGACTGCATTATGACTACGCAGGCCCTGATCAAGTGGATAGTCCTCTCCTTGACATCATCGAAAGTGCATTTAAAAGTCTGCTTAGAGCTGTTCCGGCCTTTGGAGTGTATGCTCATGGTCACTCCGTCACTTTTGTAAGAGTACTCGAAGATATGGTACTCTACCAGATTCTCTATCTCACACTTATCTTCATAGAAACATAACGCGAGTTGGTGAAGCTGGAAGGAGTTAGAGGGAAACATAATAGTTATCAAATTAAAAAGGACCCTGGCAGTCCAAGGGGAAACACGCGCTTTACATTAATAATAATAATAAGCCCACAAAGCGGCTAGTGGCGAACTGTTGATGACTGCCGACACCACGAGCTATAACCGAGTTATCCCGGAAAGTTTGTAAATTCTACCTTTGGGTTCCCTTGGTCAGCTAGCCAGAGTTAAGTGCTAGACCTTAGAGCTAAAGTTAGTTTGCTAGAGCTTTGAACTTGAAGGGTGGAAGTGTAAAATGTTATAACACCTGGAGGATGGTGACTGTATAAGGATCGCCAGTCCGCAAACTCACCTCCTTTTTTATTTATTTTTTTAATAGAATAAGGGTGACAAGCGAGCACACAGCCCACCGGATTGTAAATGAATACATCTACATCTATCTTCGATCAAGAATTCATATGCAGATGCGTTGTCACCCCTGAGGACTAAGGTGGAAAGCCTCCTACCCAGTAAAAAGGGTCTCCGGTTCTCTACCCTCACCATACGAAACACAGCAGCATGGAGGTGCTATTTTTCGCTGGTATTCTGTGAAACTCTCTAGACTCACCAATGTTACAGTCAGTTAAGATTGATTTTTATCCATTGAGACACGATAACGGCAGATGTCCCGAGTCCCCTCCTCAATAGTGATAGTTTATTATAGAGAACGGGAGATCTTTTTTTACTGGTAAAAAGGCATTCCATCTTAGTCATAAGGATGTATCTGTCTATTGATTCTCAAACTATAATAAATGTAGATGTACATGTGCAACAGCAACCATTTAGCCTTCAGGTTAAGCCGCCGCCTGGTGTTCGATGATGGAAGGATATATAGAAATTAAGGCAAGTGGTTCTTGCACACACTCTTCGAAATGTATCCTATAGAATACCGAGAAGCTGACAATTATGCACCAGTGCTCCAGGCTAACAGGATTGGTTTCAATCAAATCAAGGTTACTAATAAACTTCTTAGCACGTCTTTCCACTGAGTCGAACGATGCTAATTGGCATTTTGTAGCACAAGCCCATATTATATGACAGCAGTAATCTATGCACGACCGGACTTGCTCCTTATATAAGGTGAGAAGATTCTCCTGCGTGAAGAACCACCGCACGCTTGCTAGAACATCCAGTTTCCTTGCACTTGACACTTGACATTGGACTCAATGAACCGCACATAGTTGAGGTTCTTAGAAATTTCAACCCCTACCAACTGGAGGTGGTAAGTGAACTCCAAAGACACATCCAGGAAAGTAGGAGCCGCGATGAGCGGGCTTCTTTTAGCCCTTGTATTTTGGAAGCGTTGAATCTTACATGAATGATATCGCCACATTCAGAAACTGCCAGCAGTGAAAGATTCGCACGCTCAACCATATAGCTTCTATTTCGTACTGGATTTGATCCCGACTGGCCCCGACTATTCGGGGAGAAACCTCTCCACAACAGTGCTGTCGTCTGCATGCCCATAGATACCGATCGTTAGCTGATAAGATCGTTAATATGAGCAGAAAGAGAGCTGAGGAGAAAAGCGACCCTTGAGAAACTCCGGCATTTGTCGCCATATCATTGGACGAGCCGCCATCAACGACGACTTGCAGAGAACGTTTACTCAGGAAGTTATTCAACCAGTCGATTAGGCCATCGTAAGCCGTACGTTGGAAGCTCGCCCAGAAGGCTAACGTGCCAAGCTCCGTCAAAGACCTTCGAGACATCAAAGGCAACAGCAAGTACTTCTCCACTGTTCTCGATGGCCTCGTCCCAATTGCTAGGAGGTAGAAGCACATGAGTAAAGAAACCGTACCGTACAGAGGCAAAGCTTCATACAACCGCACTGTGATAGGTACCTACACTAGTAGTGAACCTATTACACTGCCTCAAGCTTGTAGTAGTGTAACACTACTAGAAGCTTGAGGCGCGTGTGTGCGTCAGCACTGGCGGCTCGTCACGTACAGAGAGAAACTGCCTTAAACCGGCTCGGCCAGTGCTTAAACTCAGGGTTGTGTAAAAAATAATAAGTGTCAAATTTTGTTTTTTAAAGAATAATTCATATCAAATGCAATATAAAAAAGTATAAATATTGTTTACTAATACCTACGTAAATTTAAATCTCATCGAGGTTGCCGCAAGAGATACCGCTGATTTTGTAAATAAAATTAATAATTTGTTTGATTTCTTACACTCAAGTACACCGCGATCTCCTAATAAATATAAAAGTGCTTTTCGACGCAATAGTTATTAAATTGATTTTTAGAAGAAATGCTCACATTTTTCAGGAACTTAAAATCAATAAGAAGTGATAGGCAGAAAGACGTAACTAATAGCATGAATTTCATTCACGGATTTCAAGTGTCTATAAAATCTTTATTAAAAAAAATTAAAATCAGAAGAAATTAAATTAATTTATATTTACGAGACGTCTCAATCAAGATTGTCTCGAAAATTTCTTTGGAAAAGTCAGACAGGTGGGTGGTAACTGCCAAGAACCAACACGTCAACTAGTTAGTATTGCCTTCAATAAGATGTTTATAACCAATATCTTAGGGAAACCCCAAAATACTAATTGTGAATAAGATTTCGATATGTTACTTACGATATGAAACCAGACAATTGTCGTATTTTAATACAGCATCACCGCAACCTGACGATGTTACTACTCCTGTGTTAACAGTAGGAACAAATGATTATCTATTTGATTTACCAGAAAATAATTAAAAATTGTGTACAACCGACTTCAATATAAATTATTAAGAACTAGCTGTTCCCCGCGACTTCGCCCGCGCGTAATTCAGGGTTTTAATTTTGTTGCGCGGAACCCTAATTATTTTTCTAAAATATAAGTAGCCTAAGTTACTCCTTAAAACATAAGCTATCTACCATCGAAAGTCCCGTCAAAATCGGTCCAGCCGTTTCGGAGATTAGCCGGAACAGCCGACAGACAGACAATAATTTTAAAAATTGTGTTATATATACTTTACGTATACGTATATACTTTTATATGCAATGGTACGACTTTCCATTGACGTCAGTGGAGTTTGGTGTTGATACGTATTTTTACAGAAAGATTACATTTTTATAAGCACACACACAAAGTTTCAATATGCGGAAACACGTACTTATTGAGAAAAAAATATTGTAAATCAAATAATTTTGCAATATTTAGTCAATTCCTACCGTGAAACTGACGCCATTTTTATTATTATTGTCAGTAGGGATGTCGATTCTTTCCGAAAAAGATCGATTTTTTAAATAGATTCGAATTGTAAGCTGATGTATCGATTCCCAAAAATCGATTTCTAAAATATCGATATTTTTTTCATGTTTGCATTTATAATGTAAATATAAATCCATTTTATGAGAAAAAAATCCCCTTCATCATAAAAAAATAAGGGGACTGATTCAAAAGGATTTCTGTATCTATTTTGAGACTGCTACGTCTCCGGCGCTATAAAACCACTCTAGGGGTAGGACAGACTCGTACCAAGTGGAGTCGGGGTCAATCAATTCGGTTCTTTGACATAAGTTAAACCTAACCTATTTTATTTGTTATCTGCCCTAATAGGTACTGTTAAATAAAACAAATTTCAATAAGAGATCATTTATCATGGTATCTTTCTTGTTTTTCATAAAATGGGTTTATATTTACATTATAAATAGAAACATTAAAAAAATATAGATATTTTAGAAATCGATTTTTTGTGAACCGATACATCAGCTTACGATTTGAATCGATTTAAAAAACGACCTTTTTCGGAAAGAATCGACATCCCTATTGACGTCGACAATGACATTACAAAATGGCGCCAGTTTTATGGTAGGATTAGACATAAACATTGCAAGAATAATTGGTTTTCAATAATTCTTTTCTCAAAAATTACGCGTTTCCGCTAGTTGAAACTTTGTGTGTGTGCTTATAATAGTGTAACTTTTCTGTAAAAATACGTATCAACACCAAACTCGACTGACGTCAATGGAAAGCTAAGCCTATGCAATTAGTAAAAGCTGTTATTTTGACATTACAAACAGACACTTCAATTTTATTTATTTGTATAGATAACTCAAAAACTTGGTCAAACCTTGATCAAATTTATATGGGACCACAAGAGAAGCACCAGCCTTCAAAAAAAAAAATAATCATCGAAATTGGTTCACCCAAAAAAAGTTATGAGATAATAATTTGATTTTTTATAATACTTCCTGACAATTTTATCGCGTTTGTTGAAATGCTTGAGCAAAATTTCGCGAATATTTTGACCTCGAAAGAAACATTATAAATATTGGTAGTGACATATCAAAACATGTGCAAGAGTTTATATTTGTAATGAAATGAGAGTGCTTTCCAATAGATTATTTAAAAAAAAAAACTTTACATTAAATTTAGAATTCACCATTTAATTAAAAGCCACAACAAATTGATGAAAAATAATAATTATAAAAATAATTATTTAGAATACATAATTTTTTAAAAAAAATTATATCTTAAGTATCTATTAAAATGCTGATAAACATTTTATTTATTTAATTTTACCCTCAACCCTAACAAAATAGGTAAAAATTTTGACAGCTCCTCAGAAGCTTTGCCTTTGTACAGTTTCTTTACTCATGTGATAGAAGGTCTGTAGTTGACCGATTTCGGCGAAATCTGTACTGACCGTCACTGAGGAGGTCATTCCTTTTAGAGTATGGATATAATTGAACTAGTCGATCCGGTCATGACCTGATATGAAGTTGGTCGTTGACGGAACCGTCTAGTCTACTGGGAATGCTTGCATGTTCACGTATACAAACAACGTTTACTTGTGTGAGCTGAAACAGTAGCAGTGTGGATTATTGTAGTAGGTAGTGAGTTTAAGGCAAACTTTCCTAGAGGATTTTAAGGGGAAAGGATCATGTTCAGCAGTGGACTTTCATGTAGTGGTCTGAGATTTTCATTATTTATCTCTTTTTTATGTTAAGTTCTAACTAATACTACCCGTATATGATGGCATTTAAAAGATAAATTAATAGCAATAGGTACATTAAGTAAAAATGAAAGTATTTTAATGGTTACAGAAAGCCTCAAATATATTTAATAATTAATTATTTTTATATATTTGAGGCTTTATGTTATTCATTCATTCATTCATTCATTACAGCTTTTCATAAGTCCACTGCTGAACATAGGCCTCCCCCAAAGAATGCCACAAAGCACGGTCCTGAGCCACCTGCATCCATCGACTTCCTGCATGCCTTACCAGGTCGTCACTCTATCTCGTGGGGGGTCGCCCTACACTTCGTCTACCGGTACGAGGCTGCCACTCAAGAACCTTTCTTCCCCATCGGTTGTCGGTTCTTCGAGCTATATGGCCGGCCCACTGCCACTTCAGCTTACTAATCCGTTGGGCTATGTCGGTCGGTCGGTTACTCTAGTTCTACTGCGGATATCCTCATTTCTAAGTTTATCACGCAGAGAAACTCCGAGCATAGCCCTCTCCATAGCTCGCTGAGCGATCTTGAGCTTCCTCATACGGCCAGATGTGAAGGACCACGTCTCAGTTCCGTAAGTCATCACTGGCAACACGCACTGGTTGTACAATTTCGATTTAAGGTTTTGAGGTATGTCTGACGAGAAAATGTGTCGTAGCTTCCCGAACGTTGCCCAGCCGAGTTGAATCCGTCGATTGACCTCTCGGTCGAAGTTGGACTTACCTAGTCGGACTATTTGTCTCATGTAAACATACTCGTCAACAACTTCGAGCTTAGTGCTCCCAACAACTACCGGCATAGGTGTGACATGGACATTAAACATAATCTTTGTTTTGTCCATGTTCATCTTAAGTCCTATCCGTTGGGAGACACTATTGAGGTCATTGAGCATAGTGCTTAGGTCCTCCAGCGATTCTGCCACAAGGACTATATCGTCGGCAAATCGAAGGTGAGTGATGTACTCGCCATTGATGTTGATACCATATCCTTTCCAGTGTTATTATTAAAACATATATAGGTCAGATGAGCTGGAAACCCCAAAAGGAATAGATAGAATAATTTTTATTCACTATTGATTACAAGTAATTCTTATTGAAAGTAATTTTTTTACTTTTACCATTGTTTTAGAAAAAATCTCTATCCTAGGAAGACCCAGCAAACACCCAGCAGGACTATTTTTTTTAAGTTATTAGTTATTTGACAATAAAATACAGATTGTAAAAACTACTAACCAAACTTAATATAACATACATAAGAAACAGACTTGTGTATGCACATGTACGTAGGTAACTTAAATTAATTAAAGATAAACTAATAAATTTTACTAAATGTTATAATTATAAATATTAATATCTTCCTATCCTCACGTCCCTTTCGGGCCAGAGGGCCCTTCCGTCTGGGGGCCTGTGGGATTTTGACCAGCCCGCCACCCTACTGTTATGCCACTGCTCAGAGGAACAATATATAGAAGTTGGTTGGTGCTTCTGCACTGGAGCAATAGTCAACAGTCAGGTGGCCTGTGGTGCTTCATCAAAGAGTATATTATTATCACTTTGTTTTAGCTTGTTTGTCGTTAATATTTAAAAAGAGGGTATATAGGTTCTATACCCTCCAACGCACCTGTATTTATCCAGAGATGGATACTGGATTTAAAAAAGCTTACAAAGAAAAGGGCAGATGAAATAATTTAATTCATCTGCCCTTTTCTTTGTAAGCTTTTGAAAACTTATTTTGAGTTGTAAAACGATTAATAGTTGGCAAGCTGTGTGATATGAAAAAGGCTATGTCCTAAAGTACATCAAAAATAAACATTAGCGAGCCGACCCATTCGTGCTACAACTATACTTCTAATATAGCTGCAGCATAGCTCTACCACGTATAATCCTAAAGTATACTGAGTCATCGTACAACATACAATAAGTTTATTATTTGTCACAGTATTTTATTAGTACGTAAATACTTACATATTTTTTATCAAACGCTTCAAATGCCTGTATCAAAGCGGTGCTCAAAAATTGGGCGGTATCATCTCGGCATTTCGTCTTCAAAATTCTTATCTTAACACCCGCAAAAGTTTCGATCATATAACTATCTTCAGGAAACGCATTTTTCAGATATGTTATCGTACTCACAGCCACTACCGTCAGTTGTTTCATGAACGTAACAGAACTTGTGTAATTTTCAGTAATTTGTTTCGGAAATATTTTTGTCCACTCCGCCACTGCCTGTAAGGTCGAAGTTAATAAAGTATATAGTCGCTACCAAAAATAGTAAGTATAAAAGTTACTAGGACGGAGATACTTGATTTGTTGCTGAAGCCGAAGCCGTAGCTGTCATCGTAAATGATTTTAATTAAAATATAGGAAAATACTCGTTATTTATTTTTAAGTTTTCTATCAAACAGCATTTAATCACTTAAAAGTTCAACATTAACTTTTAAAAGTTACTAAGTTTTCCCGCGCTTTACAGCTTTAATAGTTTATATTTTTTTTTATAGGAGTTTATGGCCTGGTATCTAGACCTTTAGGCCAAGTCTTGAGTATTTTTATTCGGTTTATTATAAATAATTATCCTTCATAGTTCACTGCTTCACAATATGTTGATGCGTCACATTGTGCAGCCCTTGAGAGATTTTGACGGCAACTTGAGCCAGCAGACAGCTGATAGTTGGCGATGGTATCTCAAGGCGCCTATGCAAACAAACAGCTTATCTTGAGAATCCATCACCATCAGAGCACTTGTTTCACTGTTTCCACTAATAGTTCACATGCGTAGACAATTAATACACAAAATCGCACCACTTTTACATATCAAAGTCCACTTCAAACCATTTTTTAATACAATAATACAGGAGCAGCAAACCGCCGCTGATCAAGTTCCCGCCAAAACTCCTACAGCTTTAATAGTGTAGACACACGAGGGTTACCAACTTCTCAAAAAATATCACCAACACAAGACAAAAAATAAAAACTCCAAAAAAACTAAAAATTATTAAGACAAAGTTTAGACGGGAACTTGACTGTCAACGTATTGTTTCTCTTTTTTATCATTTAAATAATGGTTTGAAGTGGAAAATGATGTGATTTAGAGATCTAAGTGTGTGTGCATGTAAACTATTAGTGGAAACGATGAAACAAGTGCTTCGAAGTTGATATAAATCTGAAAGTATTTTGTTCGGTTAGGCGCCATAAGAACTTTAGTCAACGATTGTCCGATAGATTAAGCTGTCATCAATATTTACCAAAAATTCCGCAATGTAACGCATCAGCATATTGTAAGAAGTTTTTAAACATAATAATATTATAATGGATAATTTCTACTTTCTTGACCCTAGCGAAAGTATAATCATACGGGTTCATGATCAAAGAAAAGAACATTTATATTTAAATAAATTATCCGGATTTTTTTGGTGTAAATATACATACATAAGAATAATATAAGAATTGATTTCTTAACTTTTTAGATAAAGTTTTGTTAGCGTTTATATATCTATATTCATTATCATAATTATTACATTGAGAGTAGTTTAATCCTTGCCTGCTTATATTGCATTACGCGTATGAGACGTTTAACTTTATTTATTTTAATTATTTTAATGTAATATTTCACAAACATTGTAATATTCATATATTATGTCTATGTAATACATACACATATAAATAAAATTGAAGAGTCGGTTTGAAATGTCAAAATAACAGCATTTTACTAAATGCATATGAAAGTGTATACGGTACTTATTACAAAAACACAATTTATAAAATTTTTGTCCGGCTTTCGGTCTGTCTCTCTGTTTGTTTTGGCTAATCTCCGAAATGGCTGGACCGATTTTGACGGGACTTTCACTGAGAGATATCTGGTATTATAAGAAGTAACTTAGGCTACTTTTATTTTAGAAAAGAGTTAGGGTTCCGTGCAAAAGAAATTAAAACCCATGAAATCCAATACTACAAATTACACGCGGGCGAAGACGCGGGGAACAGCTAGTATAGAATAAAATGGGAAACAAAAGTATACCAGATCATAGACATTTTTGTATTTCTACTATATTTGGTCAAATGATAGAACGTTATTTTGGGACCCTAAAATAACCCCAAAGTAATATTCCCCAAAAAAAAGGGCGCATGTTTTCGCCCTAAGTTTAGGGTAAAACCTCTTATTTGGTAGTCCTGATGCACACGATAGAGTTTAGTTTATTTTTTATTAAAGGCAAAAGGGGAAGAGTCTAACAGCCTATTTTCATAAGTATTTATATATTTCTAATTGATTTAAAATATAAAAATAACAATAGAAATTACATTAGATTAACTTTAGTTACCTAAACATTTGTTATTTTTACTATTTTATATTATTTTAATAATAAAATAACAAAATATGAGTATTGTTGTTAAATTTTAAAGAAATCTTCTCGCCGGACAGTACGGGTAGGGTTTTACTTTTATTACTTTTCTTTGGTCATGAACATAGAGCAACACGGTTCTCCGATACAAAACTGCCTGTCATTTATTGCGGAGGGAAATCTGCGTATACAGGAACAATCTGTTACTATGAGACTTACACATCAACAATTAAAACAACAAACTAACAATTCTTGCTGCTAATGCTTACTTGCTAATGTTTCATACGTGGTAGAGCCATGCTGCAGCTATATTATGGTTGTAGCACGAATAGCTCGGCTCGACCGGGGAAGGACCACGCTCTCACAGAATACCAGCGTAAAATAGCAGCTTACGCTGCTGTGTTTCGTATGGTGGGTGTAGAGAACCGAAGACCCTTTTTACTGGAAACGAGGTATTCCATCTTAGTCCTCACGGGTGACGACGCATCTGCATTTTGATTCGCAATCGAAGATAGATGTAGATGTCTATGGGCCACAGCAACCACTTACCATCAGGTGGACTGTGTGCTCGTATGTCACCCTATCCTATAAAAAAACAATAGATATGCAACAGTATCTTTCTGATAACAACCCAAAATAATAAAAAATGCGGTTGCCAACCAACTTGCTGAGAGAGGGGAACTATGGCAAGCATTCCCCCTACGTTCAGGGGGGGATTTTTGATAAGCTGGAATTAATGAATTAATGATGGATCATATTTTGAGGGAGCAGATAGGAATACGTTCGTAATCGATTTATTTGTAGTTGTGATCTAGCGACAAAAAAGAAGGCAGACCGCGTTATTGTATTATCGTAGCAATGCCCTCCGTGTACGTTCCGTGAAGCAAACCCTGTGTCGATTAAACAAACATTTATTAATTAACGTAATTATTCTTTGTGAAACCCATAATAAGTCTAAGGATAATTTGGCGGAAATATACCAGCTGAATTTAAGTAGATTTGTACTTGGTAGAGCGATGCTGCAGCTATGTTAGTAATGTAGTTGTAGCACGAATAGGTCTGTTGGACTGAGGAAAGACCACGCTTTCACAGAATACCAGTCTTAAGCTGCTGTGTTTTGTATGGTGAGTGTAGAGAACCGAAGACCCCTTTTACTGGAAATGAGGCATTCCGTCATAGTCCTCACGGGTAACAAGGCATCTGCATTCTGATTCGTAGTTGAGGATAGATGTAGATGTCTATGGGCCACAGCAACTACTTAACATCAGGTGGACTGTATGCCCGTTTGTCACCCTTATCCCATATAAAAAAAAATATTTCGTAGTGACCTTTTCACCATATGTTTTAAATTATACAACGATAATACGAAATTCTGCATTATTTAACTACACATTTGTTGTAAGATGTCAGATGAAGCATCCATAATGTTTCATTGATATAAATAAGTATTACGAACCTGACTAATAAAAGTTCCAAATTTTACTATGTCATAGATTAAATGAATTTATCGAGAACGTTTTTGTTTCGCTAATGGCACATCAATAGAGATGTCTATGGAATGGAAAAACGCCAACAACCTTGGAAATACATGTACTATTTAGGCCTGGATTGTGGTCGTATCGCGTTTCCTGATAATTGTATCTATATCAGATTTAGAATCTCAATATCTGATATCAAAACTATATATTTCAATATTTAGATATTCTGCGTACGCGTTTATATTTTCTACTCCGATACGCTGTTGAAAACAACTTCAAAAAAGGAAGGTCTTTATTCGACCCGTATTTATGTACATATTATGTATGTTTGCGATTTTCTGAATTCTAAAAAAAACCAATAACAAATTTTGATTATATTTTATTAACTTAATCTTCATAAAAGTCGGGTTATTCTTTTCTGCAAATAGTTTTCATACGATATGATAGTAGATATTTACAGTGTCTTTATTATTTATTTACAAATAAAAAGTGCAACTTTCTCCTTTCACTACATTTAATCGGGCAGATCTAAAAAATAAATTGAAGATTTTAAATGAAATAATATAATATGCATTCGATTTAAAAAACAATAACATTTGAAATGTATCATTATTAGGCAAAATAAATAAAACTTTAATACCTACATCGATCGCGCTCTATCGTACACGGCGAATCTAGCCACCAGCCAATGCGATGCGATATAGGCATCGCGGCGGTATGCAAATATCAGATTTTGTAATACATAGTTTTCAAACGAACCGGTTAGCGGTAAGCGGTAAGCGGTTTTTAGATATTGTACCAATGTATAGATTTCGATTTCGAATCAGTATACGGTTTGCATCGCCCACCTCTAACATGTACCAACCAAAAACCTTGTTAAAGAAAGAAGGTGAGAATGATATAGCCATCTTATTTTGTGCCTTGTTAAACGAGATATGTATAAAGAGTCCAGCTATAAGAATTTTGTTCTTATTTTAAGACTCTCTTTGTAGTAATTACGCTGTCTGAGGTTTTTACGTTAAAGTTGGTTCAGACTTCAGAGAGTTTTGGCGGGAACTTGATCAGCGGCGGTTTGCTGCTCCTGTATTATTGTTTAAATAATGGTTTGAAGTGGACTTTGATATGTAAAAGTGTTGCGATTTTGTGTATTAAGTGTCTACGCATGTGAACTATTAGTGGAAACAGTGAAACAAGTGCTCTGATGGTGATGGATTCTCAAGATAAGCTGTTTGTTTGCATAGGCACCTTTAGATACCATCGCCAACTATCAGCTGTCTGCTGGATCAAGTTGCCGTCAAAATCTCTCAAGGGCTGCACAATGTGACGCATCAACATATTGTGAAGCAGTGAACTATGAAGGATAATTATTTATAATAAACCGAATAAAAATACTCAAGACTTGGCCTAAAGGTCTAGATACCAGGCCATAAACTCCTATAAAAAAAATAGATAAATATAGATAGATCTTTATCTATAACTTCATGGCAATCTATCAACATTTTGACAAATATCTAGCAACTGGGTTGGAGTTTTGGCGGGAAATTGACCGGCGGCTGTTTGCTGCTCCTGTATTATTGTTTAAATAATGGTTTGAAGTGGACTTTGATATGTAAAAGTGTTGCGATTTTGTGTATTAAGTGTCTACGCATGTGAACTATTAGTGGAAACAGTGAAACAAGTGCTCTGATGGTGATGGATTCTCAAGATAAGCTGTTTGTTTGCATAGGCACCTTTAGATACCATCGCCAACTATCAGCTGTCTGCTGGATCAAGTTGCCGCCAAAATCTCCCAAGAACTGCACAATGTGACGTATCAACATATTGTGAAGCAGTATACTATGAAGGAGTGGGGAAATTACAATAAACCGAATAAAAATACTTAAGACTTGGCCTAAAGGTCTAGATACCAGGCCATAAGCTCCAAAAAAAGAAAAAAAACCTAGCAACTGGGTAAAGCTAGCAGTTGGCAACACTGAAATTACGTTGGTGGTTGCTGACTTGCTGATTGCTGTTGTCAAATTGTCAACTAATGTTATTCTGAATCTGTTTTGTGTTTTGAAAACAAAGAAAATGGGTAAAATATTTCTTCATCATATTGGTGGAACGCGTTTATTTTCATGTGCCACTTGTGATGTAAATCTAACTAATCGTGCCGAGTTAATTAGCACAAGATTTACTGGGGCTACAGGTTTGTTATTGTTCTGTATAAGTTATACTATAGCTAAACTTTCTATTATTTCTATCGTTATTAAGGTATTTATTATAGTAACATAGGTAGTGAAAATTAATTCAACAATGACACTAGTCAAATTAATTTAATTTTGTCACTACTTGAATAATTTTTTTTTGTTAGCAAAGCAATTATCAAAATTGAAGAATAAAGAAATCTTTCGTTGTAATTCTGAGGCCCGTGTAATATCTCATGTTTTTCTGGCCCCTAATAATGAGTTTGCCAACCCTTGTGCTACACTCTTTGAGAGCAACTAAATGGATTTGTTTTGCAGGGAGAGCTTTTCTGTTCCACAAGGTGGTAAATCTGGTCTATTCAGAGGTACAAGACCGAGTGATGCTGACGGGACGCCACATGGTTCGTGATGTCTCCTGCAAGAACTGCTCTAATAAACTTGGTTGGGTATATGAGTTTGCTACGGAAGAGAATCAAAGGTATTTTATACTTTTTTAAGTAGTAAACACTAAAACATGTTTATTTATGTGGACACTACACATTAGTTTAGTTTAGTTTAGTTTACGAGGAGCTGATTTCCGCAACTCTACGTCTAAGCGCGTATTTTGCGTGTGGAACACTACACATTTAATTGAAACTTTTTTACAGATTTTATCTGAACATCGAGAACAGATGTCCTCTTTGACATATACGCAAACTCCAGCCCGAGGCACAAAGGAGTGCTCCAATTTGTACCCCGGGTAGGAGAGATACGACGTATCAGCCGGAGAGGACACCTGCGTCTCGGTCAGAAAGAGCAAGGCTGGCTTCGCCGTCTCAAGATGGTAGTGGACAGCGTTTAAGTTCGAGTTAAGTCCCCTGATGTTGCAGAAATTCACGGATAGCGTGGCAGGAGTCGCCTTGGTATTTTTGCTCAGTTTGACCCCACCCCCCCAGAATACGCGGGGCAGCCTGAGCACCTACGCTCAGGAGTGGAATAACATGGTCGTGGATGCTCAGCGAGGGATTCTCCAGGGGTGCTGGTACCCTCCTGGGGTAGTCTTTGGTGTAATTCCGCTACCATGTTGATAGGGGAGGGGGGATTGAGCCTCCGGCCACCTGCACTCACCAGACGAAACGCAGAAGCAGAGCTTCTACTTCACGCCGGTATTCTGTGAAGTCGTGCTACCAACCCGGCTCGAGCCGGCCGTGCAGCAGCAAAAACTGCCGTGTGGCTCTACCACCGTTAGCCGTTAGTGTTTACCGTTCTATAGCAAGGGCATTAACAAAATGTCCATAAAATTTCAAGAATGCGTTAATAGTTCAGACAAATGTTTTTAATATTTTTTTGTATTTATTTTTATTTCCAAATTCTCATACAAAACGGCATTTTGGGTAAAGACCTTATTGAGTGTATAATATTAAATCATTATTAGAGTATTACGTTGCAATACAAAATATAAGTATGGTTTTTAATTAACACATACAATTATACTGATTACAATACACGTACGTACTTTTGGTCTCTGTTTTATAATTTCATGAAATTTTTTAGTCACAAAAAAGTAACAACAGGGTTCTTCTGGTCGTTTCAGATACAAGGAAGGTCGAGTGATCTTGGAGAGAGCACTGGTCACCGAAAGTGACGGCATAGAGGAGATACAAGTGAACGACGATTAAAACCAGTTTCTTATAAAAAAAATTAAACAAAAACTATCTATCACGTATTAATTTGTCATATCCGCCTATCATAAAATAAAATTATTTAGAACATTTCTTTTCATGTTTAAAAATTCAGTAAAATATATATATACAGAAATCGATTGCATGGTTTTATCTCTTAGTAGAAGGATAGGTGTCCAAACAATTTTTCTATTTTGTTTTGATAGGTGCTGACATTTTCTATAAAAGTAATAAAAATATATGATTTATTTAAAAGGCAGGCGCAAATAATAAATGTTCGTTCACTCTTTTCCTGAATTAACAGAAATACAATACAATAATTAGTGTAGGTACTAATTACACTAGTGTTACTAACTCGTAAATTTATTTATAACTAAGAATATTGCTGTGTAAAATCTTTACGTTATAAAAAATTATGTCACAGTAAGCAGATAAAATTAAATATACAAAATAACTAGTGTTCGACCGAAACCGTAAACGAACCTTCGGTCTGAGTGTCAGTTTCGGCCGAAACCGAAACCGAAACTTATTTAGACATGTTAATTATTTTGTATTGTATACTGAAATCTGGTATATTATTTATACATATACAGATAGGTTAATGAAAAACAGTAATAGTAATAGTCATGTAGCAATATATTTATTTATTTTAAAGTAAAAATCAACAATTTAACGTTAAGAAATACTTTTTAAGTCAATTTCGTAAAAAAATCAACACACCCATAAAAAGTTACTCGCTAATTGAGAACACACACACACACGCACGCACCCACGCACGGACGCACATGCACACACACACTCACATGCACACACACACTAACGCACGCACGCACACACATGCACCCACACACACACACACGCACGCACGCACCCCCACACACACACACGCACGCACCCACACACACGCACGCATCCACGCACACACACACACGCACCCACACACACACACAACTTAACAAAATCCCAGAAAATATACAAAACCTGATCAAAGTTCAAAAATTTTAATAAACTCATTTTGTATAAAAAGGGTTATTATAATATTAAGGAATTTATGGATGATAATAACCCCTGGGAATGAGGTGATCACTATCAAGCTATTTCTAATTTGTTTTGTGCTGTTAATTGTGTTACCATACGTGATTGTAAGCAGTGGCGTAGCTAGGCGTGGGCTAAGTGAACCCTCGCCCACGGCCTCGCACTTAAAGGGGCTTCGCGAGGCCCCCAAAAATGCGATGCCCTTTACCAAAGATAAATACAATTAATTTGATCACTTTTACGCTCGTAAAAAAAGTCATTAATTTCAACAAGCCGCTCTTAAGGTCTTAAGGCGCAGGTTGAGCAAAATGTCGCACTAGTCGTTATTTGTGCGGTTTTTAGGAGCTATCTACTTTTTATTTAAAAGATATATCAACAAATAAAAAACACATTATATTTCTACATAATCTTGATTCCATAAAAGCTATATCCATTTTTTTTTAAACGAATAAATATTAATATAATATCCTTACAACGAAACCACATAAATGTGAAATTATTATTGATAACATGCATCTCCTCGTAAAGTAAGTATTATTTTATTTTGCGATTTACACCAAAGAATAGGCAATTTATTAATAAACATTTCTATAGTAAATTTTTTTCAAAACACTAAAATTTGATTTTATTAAGAAATTATTTTAAAATCTGGGCATATTCACTGTTCACGGGCTTGCTGAAGTCAGTGAGCCCTGAGCTCTTCGACGTGAAGCCCGTGTCGTTAGAGCGTCGACCAGCGCATACACTCACGTCATATCAGTCGATAATAATATTACTTATTATGGTTTAAGAAATTTATTCCTCAAAAGAATACAATTCACTTATTATGAGAAATAACAAGTTAATCTTAAATACTAAATACATGAACTTATGAAGAACGGCAGGTACTCGTAAATGATCTATTATTTACCTGGGCATGCACAATCTTCTTACAATAATATGTAGGGTAATAAGAAAAGTAAGTGTACAATTACATATCATTATTGAAAGCAAGTTTATAGCGATTACATATTTGCAAGCAGTTTATAATTAAGTTTATATTTTATATTAAGTGTTTACAAATGGTATAATATTTTAGTTAAATATATTTCATACCTATATATTTCTATTAGTTTAAAAATTTAATGTGGTAAAATCAAATTAACTGAAGAAATTACATTCGCCTTTTAAATGCGTTAATATTGGTTTAAAATATTAGGTTATTTATAGGTAGTATTATTTGTTTGTTTTGGGTATAATTTTTCGTATTAGTTATACATATATTTGTTGTGTTTTTTACTGCGCGATGAAGCTTTTTGCGTGTATTTTCTTTGAAGTAAATGCAAATAAAAAAATGAAGCACCATTAGCATGTAAGGTTCGAATCCATAATTAAAATTTCGACAAATATTATAATTTACACTATAAAAGTCTAATTCAATATTATCACCCAACCACAATATCTTATTAAGTATAGTACTGCCTCGTTGGTCTAGTGGTTGTAGTAGTGCGACTGCTGATCATGAGGTCCCGGGTTCGAATCCTGGGTCGGGCCCAAAAGTCGGTTATGAGCTTTTCATTTATGTTCTAAGTTATAATTAGTATTACTAAGTTATAGTTTTTTGCTAAAATATAGTATATTATTTATTGCTTGTTTTTTCTTCTTTTTCAAAAAATTATTGAGTACATAAGGTGTTCTATACTTATAATTCGGTAAAAAGTATCTAAGTAGGTACTAATATACCTACTTTTTACTATTAACTAAAAATTTTTAAAACTAAATTTAACTAAAAAGACTAAGCTGACCATTTATTTTTTAACTCAAAACAGGACATGGGTTTATTTATACTCTAAAAACTATAACTATACAATTAGTGTTCACTGTAAAATTATATTCGGTATAGACGGTAATTATTAAATGCAACATAATTTTTTTTAATTATTAATTACATTTGTCAGTGGATTAAATTTTCTTTAATAAAGTTGGTGATGATTTTAAATAAAAATAAAATTCTGCTCAAGTTTTTTTATTGTTATCTTTGTTAACAACATCGCCTTTAGAACTCCGGAACCGTAAGTGTTTCTTTCAGACGTCCACAATTTATTCAAAATAAAAAAATACTCTTTCTACCGGAGCATTCGTACCAGGTAGACATAAAATATATTCGATTAAAAAAATTATGTTGAAGATTGTTGACTTTGAATACTTCCATCCAACGAGTTACGGGACAATTTTGTGTCCCGGAGCTTTGTTTGGGGACAATGGGACAGGTGACCGAGAAAAGGGACAGTCCCGTTCAAAACGGGACGTATGGTCACTTTAGCTATAACCCGGCGACGGCTCCGTGGCGCAGTAGCTTAGCAATCAGTTGTTGCGCTAGGGGCCGCGGGTTCGAATCTCGCACGGAACAAGTATTTGTATGGCCTACAAATAATTGTTCCGGGTACCTGGATGTTTGTCCTTGTGCAATTTATGTTTGTAAACTGCCTCCACGACACAGGAGAAAATCCTAGTGTGAAGGTAACGTTTTTTTACAATTGAAATTGAAAGATTGAACCCTTATACTTCTTGTTGATTTTTGTATTACCTTTATTAAAGTTACCCTTATGTATAAATAAATATAATTACGTATGTAGAAATAAAATTGATTTTCATCCTCATCAATCATTGGGGTGAGGATAATGTCTGCCAGCATAAATAATAAGCAGGCTAAGTTACAAGGAGCTCAGTTAAAAAATTAGTAGGTAGGTATATTACTTTTCAATACGTGACACGTAAAAATTAACAATAATCAAAAACACATCTGCGAAACATCCTATTTATTTATTTATTTTTTATTGCACCAAATATTTGTACAAAAGCCGAGCTATCTATTTATTTACCTATAGTAAATAGGTATCTTTTAAACTCACAATTTTCAATACTTCATTTTTAATATATAATTATATATAAAATTTCATAATTAGATAATATATGAAAATACATAATTCTAATATAATGCAACTAATATATACCGAATAAAAAAATTAAAATACATTTATCTTTGTACGCTGTGTGTATTTCCATAAAATAGTTTATTGATGTTGAAAAAATAATACTACGTTATATTGTAGCGAGCGGCGCGCCGGTCAAATGCTCAAGGCCGTTCGCATGGAGTAGCCCCTTAAGTGCGACTCCGAGGCCGTTGTAACTACCTTCAAAGACTGCTACTGTTACATTGACGGAATACGAGACTTGTCATGAAGTAATAGAATAGATATGAGTAGGTATGTCGTGTCAAGGCATGTTTGGTAGGATAGATCTATTGGGTAGATCCTTGGAACGAAAGAAAGGGGCCTCGTTGAGGCAAATTCGCCCACGTTTATATTGTCCACGCTACGCCTCTGACTATAAACTATTATTTATAAAAAAAGTCCCGCTGGGTTTCTTGCTTATTCTTCCAAGGACAGAGGTTTTTTTTTCGAACCAGTGGTAATTAAACGAAAGAGTGACTTTAAATAAATATTATTTATAATCTATATTGAATAAAAAGTTTCTGTTTTTGTTTCTGTATAATTATGAATATTATTAATACGTAATAATAAATTATACACGAGTCACGAACTCATCCGCACGACGCACGATAATCCAGGAACAATGAGTTTGGGCGCCGCCGAAGGTTCGGCAGATTTTTTGCCGAAACCGATACTAGATTTATTTGCCGAAACTTGCCGAAACCGATACCGAAACCGAATCTTCGGTCGGTCACTAAAAATAACACAAAAAATGTTGTAGATGAGTAGCACAGTTTAAAGACAATACTTATAGTTTGGAAACGATGCCGCGCGTGTATTTAATATTTACGCTGTCGTCGCAAATATACTAGGCGTTGTCACGAAATTGAGAATAAAATATTTTTGGTATTATTATATATTACAAGTGTTCAATGTCAAATATATTTATGACACTTTTTTTATATATGTTTTCAGTTTATTAGTGTATTC